TCCTCCTCCTCCTCCTCCTCCTCCTCCTCCTCCCCACCGTCTGCCCTCACTCATGGCCGTGGGCCCACAACTCGGTTGAACCTTAAAGGATAGTAAATTGACCCGGGATCTTCATGCAGGAAGGTCCTAGCCACGGAGAAGGAAAGGGGTTGAGCGCGGAGCACTGAGGCACCGTGCTGCTCCCAGGAGCTGAAAATGGTTCCGAGCAAAGGCGCGTTAAGCGCTAGCAGCTGAAGCAACACTGTGGGGCGGCCAAGGGTTTGAAAGGCGGTGGGACTGGGTTTGGGTGCTACCTGGCACCTCCGGCTGTGCAACAAACATCTCATACGTGCTCTGGCCTTTGGGCAGGACCCACCTGGCTCTCAGAGATGGATAAGGATAATAAGTCACACGTGGGACCACTTGGCCACCTCAGCTGCCAAGACCCCCAACGGCTCTAGTAAAGTGGCTCCAGACCTTTCACTCCCGCGCTGCCAGGCATTGGTTTCTTAGAGCCCTGCAAAGGAAGACTGTTTCCCCATGGAAGAAGTAAGGATGTGGCTGGCCTCTGCCTGGCTGCGGAACTACCACCACCATTCAGAGCTGGGTGTTCTGGTCCACCCACCCGCCCCAACAGCCCTCTGGGATGGGAACAGGAAGATAGGTGGGTAAGTAAGGATAGAGTCTGGATTTGAACCCACAGCCCTCTGTTTCCATTACCCATCACCGAAGAACTTAACAAGAAGGCGAAAGGGAAATATTTTGCCTTCTTTGGCCTCAAATTCCGATCCTGTCTGAGCTCAAACTTGAAAGTTGGTATGAATCACAGGACTGGACAGGGTCCAGCAGAGATGCATCTCTTGTTTTCTGGACAGAGCCTAGACTCAAGCGGAGCTGAAATAAATGTATTCTGTTGGTCTGATCACCCATGAACCAAAATCTTCCAGAACAAGGAGGATCAGCACACACTGAGCACCAGCAACTGGCACCGTCCTTAACTGTCCCGGCCTCCCGGCCCTGTAGGGTAAAGCAGACTAGACCTGAAAGGGCCAGGCTGTTTTAGGGGCCAGGCACTTGGAACGCTACACTCTTAAAACTAGCTCTGCCGAGCCGGTGCCCACACACGCTGTGTGTCTGGGTGGAGCCGAAGGCATAGCTGTATGGCAGAGGCCCAGTCTGGAGGAATCGCTTACGGCTCCCTGTGCTGCTTCGGCCCCTCCGCTGCTTCTTGGGGGCAGCATCCGTCTGAGAGCAAGACAGCGCGTGGTGTCAGGCCCGGGTTTTGGATGCAGATCTGAGCCCAAAGGACAAGTAAAGCTATATATCCACTGTCTACGTCAAACAGAAAAATTCCTGGACTCTCAACAGCATTGGACTCACAGGCAATACTCAAAAAAAAAGTGACACCCAGGCCTGATGAATCACCAAGAGACATCCAATAGAAATGCAAAGACTAATGTCATAGAGCGTGCCCATAATCCTGGCAGCTAGGTGGCTGGGGCAGACAGCAAGTTTGGAACAGCTAGCTGGACTGCACAGTGAAATTCTGCCTCAGAAGGGTGGTGGGGTGGGGGTTGGAGACCTGGCTTGGCAGGTAGAGCCTTGCCACACAAGCCTGACTACCCAGAAGCCATGTAAATGCACACCCTGTAGCTCATGTGTCTGCGATTGCTGCGCACTGCATCAAGGAGATGGAAGTGGAGACAGGAGAATCCCCAAAAGCTGCCTCAGCAAAGTCCAAGGTGAGGACCGGCACTGGAGCCAGTCCTGTCTGCCCACACTCATGCCTAAGCCCCCATGCTTGCATTAACACACCAACACACACATACACGGAGATTTTTTTTTTTAAGGTGACAAGTGTCGAGAAATAAGAAACTTCTGTACTGCCTGGCCAGGTACCTTCTGATTAAAAACAGAAAGAAGCAACACAAAAAGAGGGGAAGGACAAAGCGTGGTGACACAGAGCTGAGGCTGAAGGACACACCGGCCCTGGAGGAGCATTGATGGCGAAAAGCAGAGAGGAGAAGCAGCCTAACTGGCGAATTCTAAGCTCTCAGATAAAATAAAGTAAAAAGGCTAGATCAATTGGTAAAATGTTTGTCATACAAGCATGAGGACATGAAGTTTGGATCCCCAGCACCCACATAAAAGCCAGGCATGACACAAAATCAGGGGATATTGTAGGGCTTCAGGCAGGCCAATCCCAGTAGTTCACTGGCCAGCCAGCTTGAGGAACCCTGTGCCAAAACCTAAGGTGGACAGCAACTGAGGACCTCTGACCTCCAAAGATATGTGCACGCATGTGCACACAAACACACACAAAAACAAAGTTCATCAAGGAAGCAGAGAATAATGGGAAAACCACAGCTGGAGACAGAACTGCAACTTGGGTCTTCGGTTTCCAGCTAAGCAAGACTCTCTTGTGCAGCAGCCATTCAGCGGTCCAAGGGCCTACCACAGAACAGGACAGGTCAGGCAGTACGCCCCACGCCACCTTCACACTGAAACCTGAAAGCTTTTCAGGACTCCATTTCTTCCAAAGTTATGAACAAGTCCAAGCATAAAAAGGAAGCAGAAGAAGCAAATCTTCTGGCTCACAGAAGGAATATTTAAAAGGAGAAGTCCTCAAAACTGGAATGTTGCCGGTTCAGATGGCCCTTCAGCCATGACCAAGGCCTTTCTCACAATGGATGTCCTCAGGGTTAACGCACTTCCATGGTGCCTCTAGTCCACGCACTACCAGTTTTTATTGCTGAGAACTTCAACTGATTTTCTTTTTCTGAAAGTTTATTTTATTAACTTACGATTTTTTTTGACCTGCCCATATATGTATTAGGTATCTACCTGGTACCCAGGGTCAGATGCCCCTGCAACTGGAGTTACAGATGGCTATGAGCCACCATGTGGGTGCTGGGAATTGAACTGGGGTCCTCTTAAGCACTGAACCAACTCTCTAGCCTTCAACTTAGCTTCAAAAACATTTCTCATCCTGTATTTCCTCCCTTTCCTTATAATAACTAAGCAAATTGCCACGTTCCTTGGTCTTTCCTTTGCTGACAGGTGTGAGCTTGTATCACACCCTGCCCTTGAGTATTATCTTGTCAAACCTAAGGCTTCTCTGAGCTGCCAAAGTCCACCATTCGCTTAGTGTTTTTATGTCCATTTATTTCTATCCCAATGAAGTGCCCAGTCTTGAAGAGACAGACCTGCCTCTTTGATGCTACAGAAGGTGCCATATTCTAAAAAGTGAATTATAAAATAACTTAAGGAGGAAAAAGGTTAACAGTGGGCAGTTGATTAGAAAAGCAGTACTTCTCATTTGCCTGTAACTTTTCTTTTAAGACTAAACCTTTTCTTTAAAGACTAAATTTTAATTACATATATACATATATATATACATACATATATATATATATATATATATATATATATATATATATATATATATATATATATATATATATATATATATAGGGGGGTGTGCATAGGAGAGCGGTGCCCGAGGAAGCAGAAGACACTGGCTCTCCCAGGGGCTGGAATTTCGGACAACTGTCGTCTGTCTCATGTTGGTGCTGGGAACCGAACTGCGTTCCTCTGTAAGAGCAGCCCAGCATCTTAACCACCGAACCATCTCCCCAGCCCAATTTAATCTTCTTTTCTTAATCTTATTTTCTTTTTGCAGTGGTCTGATCAAACCCAGGGCCTTGCACATGGCAGGAAGGCGTCCTGCCACCGGGCTACACACGCAGCTCTTTGCCAGCAGTGTAAATAAACAGCACGGTAAAATCAATTGTCCCCAACTGTACTTCATGTTTATGGCCACACAAACAGCGACCACAGGTCACACATGTGCCATGTCTACCTACCGCTGAGAACAGTAATGTGAATACTGGCAGGGTAGACTTAGGAGAACGGACTGTATGACTGCCACTTGGGGCAGTAAATTGCGGATTTTTAAAAAATAGTTCTTCAAGAAGTCTGGCTCAAATCCCATAGCAGATAAAACATCCAGCCAGATGGAATCAGACTCCATACTTCTCCAGGGCCAGAAATCTAGCCCAATGTTCTCTGTCCTTACCAAGAATTAAAGAGCTGTTTGTTGCAGCAGTCTCTAGACACATCTAGGGTCGGACCTTTCCAGAAGATTTCGTAACTCTCTATTGAGAAAAACTCTAAAATGTGGCCAGACTTGGCTGTGGTTCCTGATAGCCTGTAAATCTTTCAGGTCCCTCTTCAACTGTCTAGTACAAACCCCTGATTCTTACCAGTGTGGGCCCAACCCATGGAGTAATTTACACGGAGGTCCAACCCGGCTGACCTCTCGGGTCAATGACATCTCTGGACGTCGGTGTGTTCAGCAAGCAGCCGCTGCACAGGCGCAACTGCAAGGTTTGTCCAAATATATGAATGTCATGCTAGATGACCCTATAGCTATTCATTTAGTTACTGCTTAGTTCTAGAGGGTTCAATTTTAGTGGTTCTTAGCCGGGCATAGTGATGCATGCGTCTAAGTCCAGGACTTAGGAGGCAGAGGCAGGTGGGGATCTATGCGAGTCCCAGGCCAGCCAGGACTACACACAGACTCTATCTCAAAAGAGGGGTGGAGTGGGATTGGAGGAAGTTCTCAGTAGATAAAAACACCACCCCCTGACATTTAGACAGCCATTTTGCTCAGTGCATTATCCCACAGCCGCAAAGGCGGGAGCTCAAACCATGGCACTGCCCTGCTTTCAGTCCTTGTTCTGGTCACCATCTGGTCACAGATGCCCCACACCTCCATCCTCTCCTGGCACATGTGCGGTCTAGATGTGACACGTGGCTTTCTTGTTTTCTATTCCACTAAGACTAAACTGCTTCAATCAGTTTACTGACATCCTTGTAAAAGTTTTGATTGTGAGTATAAAAGATACAAAACAGGTCTATAGATTTAAAAAATGGAACACGTCACAAACCTGCATGTCCTCCTCGCACAGGGGTCGTGCTAATCACCTCTGTACCATCCCAATTTATAATTTGTGCTGCCAAAGTGAGCACACATGACTTTCTTTGAACAAAGAAGTGGAACCAGAAGTTTTAAGAACACTTTGCCCCTTTTCTCTTTCTCTGCTGTGATGGCAAGGTGGACAGCAGCAGAGTGGCAGAAACGGGAAGGCTCTTCAGCTCCCAGCGGCTCAGCTTCCGGGTCTCTTCTGCTTCATCGTGGGCCCGTCTTCCGACTCACTGTAGTCTCCTTATGGTGACCCCCTTGCAGGTTTAGAACAGACCACCTTTCAACTCAACGTTCTTTGCTTAGTTGCATCCTTCTTCACCTTCAGTTCTCAGTTTAAAAATCACTTCACAGATGTCTCTAAGAGCATCACAAAGATGCCTGTCCCTGCAAGCCCTCTATCATAGCACCCCAGTTGTTTGCTGCACAGTACTTCAACTCCAGTCTGTGATAATTATTCATCTCCTCGAATGTCTCCCTGGCTGGACTGAGAACGACACAGAGCAAGCACTCACTGCCATCTCCAGGCCTGCATTGTACCATCTATATGTAGGGCCTTCTGCATTGTAGCTGCTCAGCAAATACTTGGGAAGTGAATGAAAAACCGACTGCAGAAGCTGGGCAGAACCCGTCAGCCATCATAGCACAGGACTCGAGTCAGACTGTCTTGGTTAATTTATCCTCAGGCACTGTCACCGAATGTGGCGCAGAGCATAGAACATGGAAAGCTCCATGGTCTCGGGGACCTGAACAAGTCCTTACCACACTAACGAGAACCTTGAACACCTGGAATGAATCAAATGACCTGACTTTTTACTTCTGACCTCCAACAAATCTGGGCCTACCTCTGGGCATAGTGTCACACACTTGTGGACTTGTGAATCCAACACTTAGGAGGCAGAGACGGGAGGGTTACCACAAGTTTAAGACCAGCCTGGGCTATGTGGAGAGGTCAGGCCAGCCAGAATTATGTAAGAATAAGACTTCATCTCAAAAGCCCTCTCCAAAAACAACCAACCAATCCCTACCCCGCAGGGAACCACTGACATAGATCTCTCTTCTAACAACTCGGGAAGCAGGGCCCTGACAAGCAGTTATTACATGTCTAAGAGAGGCGGTCTCCTGGTCACACTCTTCCCACTACACAAACCAGTCGCCTCCCCATCAATAACCAGCACCTGTGTGAGAACGACTGGAAGACAATGTCCAGCTGACACAAGGCCCCAGTGTTTTCTTTGCTCCACAGCCTAGTGAACACTGAGCAATAAACAGCACGCACAGTAAAAACAAAGGAGATCAGGAAGAGCTATTTTAATTTCTTTTAAATCTTCCAAAAGCATTATTTTTTTATCCCAAACCTCCAGTTATAACAGTGTTAGAATCAGAAAAACTAGAAGATAAATGCAGACAATCAAACACATGAAAAAGAAAACTTGTGAAACTCAGAGTTTATAAACTTATTAATATGAAACTATATAATCTGAAGCCTGTGCCTCTGGAAGAAACTTTACTCATTTACTTTTAGTAATGGCATCCAATGCTCTAATACCCTGACTTTTTAAAAAAGATGGCCATTTTAAAAATATTTTAAAAACAGTTCAGCTGTAAATTCCCACCTAAGCTCGGACCATAATTCTTGTATTTTATTTGGGAAGAAAGGAACTGTTTCTGATGGCATAAAATGAACATTTTTAGAGTTTTGAGGTTTTTTTCAATCTTAGTATGGAGTTTTATTTTAAAAACTATTATCGAGAACTTGATGCAGGTAATTAAGTGTGAGACACTAACTCGTGGTCGACCAGGGAAGTCTGTTTCTTCTCCAGTTCCCCTAAGGGGAACTCTCACACCAGTGTTCAACACAGTGATCCTTATATGTACTTCTAAGCAAAAGAAGGCTTTGTTACAGTCTTTAGATTTCACTATTCTGAATTTTATTCTGAAACTCAAATTTACCCCAAACCATCATTGCCTAAGTAGCTTTGTCATGCGTAGTGGTATGCAGGTCCTCAAAGCAGCAGTGTGGCAGGCTTCGAGGCCCTGTGCACCCCCAGCTCGGGAAAGACATGATTGGCCACATCCACTTAGCTAAGTTCTGACAGTGAGACGTGGGTATCTCTGTGTATCTCTACATCTCGTGTCCCGAGGAGTTCGTCACAGCTTAGCTTTGCCTGGCTGGAGCTGAAGGTTTTGCAGTTTCATCGCCAGACCCATGTTACCAGCAATTTTCAATTTACCTTGAAAGAAGGCCTGTGAGCAATAAAAAGAAAGAAAGAAAATTTGTTAGTTGGTGGGTTTTGTTCAGCATCTGCTAGTGTTTCTAGACTCTTCCGGTCTAAGATCATCTATTCAGGTCTCAACTTTCTACAAAATATAGACTTTAGCTTTCCAGAACAGACTGAGAACCAGGCCTCGACAGGAAGAATTCTGAACAGCCATTCTCTACATGAGTAGAATTCCCAGATACCTTCTCTCTGTTAATCTGGCTCCTCGTGCTCTCTGCGTTGTTCTGCTGAGGCTCTCTGCCTCAAATGTGTTATGCCTTGTTCAAATACTAGGTGAGACAGATCAACACTAGATGAACTTCCTTTAAAACACTACATGTGGGCTTAAAACGGGAAGTGAGCACTTCAAAAGGCTGCCGGGAAGAAGCCCACTCAGAAAGCCCAGGGACTCGGGATGGCGACGCCCCACCGAGGGTTTCGCTCTGCTCAGCTCTCCCTGAAGGGCTGGATCTGTTACTCTGGCTCAGGGAGAAGCCTCTGCCACTGCGAGGGCAGAGCCACAAACTGTTCCATTTAACAAGGCTGAGACTAGATCACATGACTTTCACTAAATTTACCGTGTAACACAATCCCAGGGAGACTCAGTTGTAGCAAAACGTGGAATGTAGCATGACTCCTGTTATGACTTTAGCGTTTTAACTCAAGTCACTGAAATAGGAGAGTTGGATGAGAGAAGTCCCTGGTAGTCTCAGAAGCAAGCAGCCATGCCGGGTTTTTCCACCCCCTGGTAAGGATAACTAATACCTCTTTCCCCAAGTAGGGACAAACTAAATATTTCCTTCTTATATGGCACAGAGCCCTCTGTCTGAGGACTTAAAGGTCAGGTGTCTGAGAACACAATATATTTAACATATGTTATTTAAAAAGACCAACCAGCTGTAGAGGCGCAGCGCGCCACCTTCTCCTTTGAAAGCTGTGGGAGAGAACGATGGAGAAAGTACGAGTGCCATCCGCTGAGAACGCAAGCCTAAGGACTGTGCTAATCTGTCCCCTCGGTGTCCTAGGGCTGTGCTTCTCTGCTGGCAACGTCACTGCTTCGTTTCAACTGGAGCCAAACACTGAAATTGGAATTTCCACTGTATTTCCCGAGTCCCAGTCAAACGCTGTGCTGAGCATAAGGAAAGGCCATTCGCACCCTAACAGAAAGGTCTGCTGCTCCAATCCTCAGCTCCTCTGGGTGTTAACGGGTGCTGAAGGAAAATAAGCTGATACCAGGTCCCCCCAAAAATGCTTGTACATAGATAAAACTACAGGAGAACAGCGGGCAGATGAAGTGTGACCCTCTGCCAGGGCTGTGCACAGTGTGTGAGGTGTGACCCTCTGCCAGGGCTGTGCACAGCAGAGGGTGGCAGCCAGCTGCTGTGCTGGTGGCCTCCGTCCCGTCCAGGTTTCTGGAATGGACTGTGGGTGGTAATGTCAGCGCCAGTGTCACACTGAAGCACCATGGGCACATCACTCAGTCAGGGCATTACTGAGACATGCCAAGAAAACCCACTTAAAAAGGAATACAGACAGGAGCCGGGTCTAGTTTTGTCCAATCGTGAGTGACCTGAGAATATCAGAAACAAGATCTAAACCAGCATAGACAACAACAAAAATGAAGTTACAACAGAGGAAGGTCTTGGGTTCCTTTCCTACAATGCAAGGCTCAGCGCATCCAGTCTGCCGAACCCTGGACAGCCTGGGGAGCAGGAAGAACCACACCCCCAACCTGACAACCTAAAACCACCGGGCACTGTGCGGTCCTCAAATCAACAAAAGCAGTGGGATGTGGCTTGTCTTCTGTGACACTCGGGGTCTCATGGGAAAGAGACAGACTCATCACCAGTGCTAGGCACCTGTGACGGGCTGCTGAGGGACTGTTCTCAGCTCAGGGAGTCCTTGGAGGAGCTGATTAGAAACAGCAAGTCAGTCGGGGAAGGAGAGGTTAGGAAAAAGAAGAGCTTGGGCACAAAGAGCACGGAAGAGCCTATCTGTGTTCAACAGCACGTCCTCCTCCCTAAGGTGCTCCCTTTCTAACTCTCTGCCCTTCCTGAGGCCTGCTCCTTCTTCTAGGTGGGCTGACCATAAGCCAGGAATGGCACAGTGGACGTTACCAGCGGTGCTTGATGTGCAGGGGCGGGGAGAGGGGAAGAGAAGAGAAGGAAAGGGAGAAAGAGGGGAGAAAGAGGAAAGAGAGGGGAGAGAGAAGAGAGAGGGGAAAGAGAGGGGAAGAGAAGAGTGAGAGAGAGGGGAGAGAAGAGAGAAGGGAGAGAGGGTGTCATAAATATACAAAGATCACCACTGGTATCTTCCTCAGTTTGCTCTGCACTTTATTTTCTGAGACAGGCTCAGCAGTTGGCTAGGCTGGCTGGCCAGTGAGCTCCAAGGGTTCCCGCGCCTCTGTGTCCACAGCGCTGGGGCTGCACACGTGTTCATTACTCAGACGCTGGCGACCCAAACTCAGGTTCCTACGCCTGTTCGGCACGCACTCTAAAGGTTAAGCTATCTCCCTGGCCTCTGCACTTTCTTTCAAACTACCCCAGGCTCCCGGCCCCTCTCGTCACAGATGGTGATGTTCTCCACGTGTCTGCCATTTGTCAGGGCAGGAGCCCCACTGTACTCACCGACTGAGGGTTCATTTTGCCAGTCATCAGAGCCAGCAAGTCGGAGTCGGCCATGGTGATTGTGCAGTCAGCCTTCTTATCTGGAGCAGACATGTGCAGGAGAGACGGAGAGAAGAGAAGAGGGGACGTTCAGAGACACACACGCCTCGAGACCGCTCCTTGCACAAGACAAAGCTGAAGCAGCACGAGGACATTCGCTGGGGACACTTCTGTTGTAGTTGTGTAAGAAGGGTAACCACGATGTTCACTAGCAGGAATTAGGAAAGCGCGGTGTGTTCTCACATGGAGCACACGCAGCCATGGTCAGGAAGGTGAAACTGTATGCACTGATCTGAAAACCTGTGCTATCCTTGTGACGACAATGATGCAGTAAACCTCAACAACAATCCTACTTACTTGCTTAAAAACAGTATTTAACGGCAGAAGAAAAGGAAAACACTGTCATCTTAGATACTGATCCGTTATTTTTACTGTGGTTGGCAGGCTCGGGGTTGGCCCTCAGGAGGCCTGCCTACCTTTGCATAATCCCCTTGGGCCAGTGTGAGCAGGACCTGGGCCTTGCTCCAGCCAAACTTGCTTCGTTCCAACACTGCTGGCACGGAATCCCTGGGATTTAACGTTAAATAAGCACCCATCTTGCTGGCAAACTCACACCTGCCCTCGTGTTGGCCTGATCAGCCCTCATGTAAACAGCTGGTGCGTGTGAACCTCCACAGGGAGGGTCACACTTTCCATGGAGCTGGGGGCAGCTAGGCTGCCATTCCCACGGCCACAGGGCATACACGCCACCAGCAACCCAGGTCAGCTTGGATGCCGAAACCAACCAAGCCTCCAGATGGGCCTGACCCTAGCCAAGAACTTGATTACAGTGTTATGGAGCCCTAGGCAGAGAACCGAGCTGAGCTGTCGTCAACCCCTGGAAACATGCACCTCCAACTATGTAGCCCAGGCTAGCCCCAAACTGGGATTACAAGTACATACCACCAAGCCTAGCTAATGTGTCTATTCCTTCAAGCCATTGAAGTCATACTTTGTTTTGCAAGAGTGAAAATTGACATAATTACCTAAATATGGGGTTAACCAACACTTTTTAATAAAAGATCTGACACTAAATATTTTAGGCTTTCAGGGTGGGTCGCCAGGTCTCTGTCACTATTCACCATTCTGTGTAGTACAAAAGCAGCCACAGGTAACACCCCAGTGCCGGGCCCAAAAAAGGGTGTTCTTTCGCTTTCTGCATTCATTCATTCATTCATTCATTCATTCATTCATTCATTCATTCATTGTGTCTATTCATGTGCACATGCATGTCCATGCACAGCCATGCCCATGGGTGCCATCATGTGTTTAGAGCAGAGGATAGCTTGCAGGAGTTGATTTTCTCCTACTGTGAGATCCAGATCAAGTCGTCAGAGAGCCACCTGTCTCTGTCTCCCAAGTTCTGGGAAAGGTGTGTGCCAGCAGGACCTGGCCTAAAAGGTTTTGTTTTATTAGATTTTATTGAATATAAATTATACCGATAGACATGACTTTAAAAAAATGTGAGAAAGCTGAATATAAAATAGGTCACTACAGCAAAACCCCGTCTATGATGTTCTTTATAACTTAACACGATCACCCCAAAGAAATGTCTGAAGACACAGTAAAATATCCAAAGCAGCTTTCTTTAGAAGGGCCTGAAATGGGAGCAAGGCAAGGCAAGCTAAACAAACGAGTAAAAGCTGGGGTTCAGGCATGGTAAAAATGAGCTCTTGCTGCCAAGAGCCATTTTGTTGGATTCTACAATGCTGAGCAAGGAGACCAAGACTGAAAAGAAGCAAATATGGGATGATTTCCTTGACAGGTGCCTAAAATAAGTAAAACTTAATCTGTGGTGACAGGATTTGGAACAAGGGTTCCTTCTGGGGTGGATGGCAATAGGAGGGGCCTTGGGGAAGCTTTTGGAATGCTGGAATGCAACAGCATTCTGAAGCGCCCTGGGCTGGGAGGTGTACATTCTGCAAACATTCCTCAAGAGAGCACTTCAGCTCTGTGCCCTCTGTCGCACGCTACACTTCAATAAAAGTTAGCCAAAGCGAAACAGAGCAAGTACACAGGTGGTGGGCTAGACTTGGTCCATAATTTACCACTTCCTCGACTAGGTGATAGAACTGGGGCCATGTGTTTGTGTCGGGGGAACAGACACACAAGCTGTTCTATCACCTTATTTCTCCATCTTTTCCTAACCCTTTATATTAAGTGTACATTACTCAACTAGTGTCCTGAAGGTATTTGTTTTGGCATTATCAACGCATAAAGATAGAAGAAAAAAAAAAAAAAGACTGGACGACAAAGATTCATATCTCATGGTTAAACTCCCAATCATGACCTTGAACAGTGAGAACCGTCCAGCACAAAAAGACAAACTCGCTAAGAAATCAAACTTCTCAGCGGTCAGTGTTTCAGGCAGTCAGTTTAACAGGGTTAAGGCTCCTCATCTTATAAGGGGTTAGCTCAAATAAAAGTTGGCCTTTCCCCAAACCAAGTCACCTTCTACCTATGTGTCTGCTTTCTATCTGTATTTGTACAAAGAATGGGACTTCAAGGGGGCAGGACCTGCCTCAGTCTTGTTTACTGCTGTGTACCCAAGTCCTCTGAAGAGGATGTTACAAATAAAGAACAATCTGGACCTGAAGGAAAGAGACAGGGGCCAGGAGTGGCAAGTGTGCCTGTAATTCCAGCACTCAGAAGACTGAGGCAAGAAGATTGCCCACACTGGATAAATCCTCCCATCACTGCCCAGCAAGCCGAGCGAGCCTGTGAGAACCAAAGCCAGCCTGGGGTACACAGCAATACCCTGTCTCTAAAAGACAAGAGAGCTAGAGAAACGACTCAGTGTGTGCTGCTCTTACAGTTCCCAGCACCAGGCCAGGAGGCTCAAAGCTGCCTGGAAGTCTACCTCCAGGAGACCCAGTGTCCTCTTCTGGGCTCCTCAGGTCCCTGTACATGTGCGTGCGCACACAGAGATACACATAAACACATAATAAAGAAGAAAAAAACATTTTCTTTAAAAAAAAAAAATGCCTTGCCCATTGTGGTGGCACACACCTTTAATTCCAGCACTTGGGAGACAGAGGCACGCAGACCTCTGTGAGTTTGAGGTTAGCCTGGTCTACAAGAGTTTTCCAGGACATCCAGGGCTTTGTTACACAGAGAAACCCTGTCTTGAAAAAACAACCAATCAACCAAACAAACAAAAAAGATGTCTGGCATGGTGGCACACATCTTTTAATTCTAGCATGTGGGAGGCAGAGTCCAGCCTGGTCTACCCAGTGGATTCCAGAAGAACTAGGCATACTGAGATTCTATATAAAAATAAAAATAAAAAATAGGAGGAAGCAGAGGAGGGGAAAAAAAGACACATGCACAGTACTAAATAACTAGAGCAAGATGGAGAGGCTTTCACGGTAGGCTTCACAATTTAGGCACTGATAGTCAATGGCCATTCCACTGCAGCTGCTATCGAAATTTTCTCTGAGTTATGGGGAGAAAGGTCTGAAACTTTAAAAATCAAGGTGATTTGCTGTCTAGAAAATCAAACCCTACTGCAAATACATAATATCCAGGAGTAGGTGGGGCGGAGAGCTATGTGCTGGAGACAGCTGAGCCTGATTCTGCTCTTTCCAGAAAGGACCCTGGAGCAGAGGCAGGTGACTGCTCTGTAATGACTGTGTTTCCTGAGCTCTCGCCACGCCAAGCACTCCCTCCTCCCGCTCTGAACTTTAGAAACCCCTGTGCAGGTGAGAGAGGCCAGATCACACAGCAGAGAAGCTTCTGCAGCTGGGAAAGGTTAGCATTATCATACTACCTGGAGAGTAGACGGTAACTCTCGAATTGTGACGGTGCTGGCTGCCTCACGCTGCCGTATCCTGTCCATTCCCACAACAGAAACCACCCTCGCCCACTTTCGAGAGCAGACAGCTAGATGCAGGGAAAGGAATGCATCTTGCTGGAGAGACAGGCCCAAGGTCTGAACCCAGCGTGGAGAGCCTCCAAAGGCTCATCCTAATGTTGCCGGAGGCAGGAGACCCACAGACCTTCTTCCTCTACCCTGTTGTCCGTAAAGAGCCAGAGTGAGGACTCAGTGGCTGAGAGCAGAAGGAAGGGATGAAGAAACAGCATGTCACTTTAGAAGTGGTTTCTGGAACAGCTAAGTGTTTCAAAGAAGTCAAGAGAGAGAAGGTGCTCATAGAGAAGGTAACAAAAAGTATCTGAGAAGCAAGAAAAGACGGTGGAAAACACATTTATGAGTGTTTAACATAATCACGTGTATATCGCTACCATGCTTAGAAGCAGGTGAACAAAACACACGTCTAAATTTACTTTTTAACAGTAACACAACTCCTGACGATATGTACACAGCAGGAGAACTAGCAATTCTCCTCATAATGCCAGTTCAAACTAGGCCGTGTTACGGAGGCTTTAAGGTAGCTAATATCTAACAAATGGGCATTTGTTGGTGGTGTAAGGGGAGCTGCCAGTCCCCAGTGGTGGCTTTCACAGGCTAAGCCCCCATCTCAGCTTGACTCCTGGCTGCCAACAGGTGTCAGGTTTAGCAGAAATTACCCTGTCCCAGGTTAGCCCTATTCAGGTCGGGAGCTGGGTGGAGGGCACATGGAGGTAGAGGGAGCAAGGCTTTTCTGACATCATTCAACAGCCTTCTATCAGCAAACCATCTTTCGTGACCAAATAAGCAACTAACCAGAACGCCACAAGAGGGTTTTTAAAACTGCCTTAACATGTGTCAGGAAATACAATTCGAAGTAACTATCAACATTTTTTCAGCTGTCACTACTGTTGGATATGCCTGTGCCTTTAATCTCAGTACTTGGGAGGCAGAGGCAGGCAGATGTCTACCAAAGCGTCACCATCGGCAACGCACCTCTTCCCTCTGCACAGTCGCCAGGTCCCCTCAGCAGAACACTCCTGGCAACCACTTGGCTCTCTGCCACACCAAGCTGTCCCTCAGACTGTGGGGACACCAAGCTCCTAAATGCTCTCTGTGGCCTCACTCGCTCCCTTCCAGTTTATCAGGCTTGTTATGGCTTAGGTGTGAAGCGTTGCCAGCTCACGTGACAAGGCTTGTGCCCCAGATGGCGGCACTATTGACCAGGTGCCCGGGCTTCGAGGGCTCCAACTCCCCAAGTTTTTTGGGGATGAGTTCACAGCTGAAGGGGCTGCTAGGAGGTGGAGCCTGACCAGAGGAAGCCATTCACCGGGGCCTGCCTCCGAAGGGTATGTATGTTCCCAGCTCTCTGAGTATGGCTGACACGAGGTGAGCGCCCTCCCTCCACGTGCTGCCCCTCATCACGTACGCCCAGCTGCAACGGAGCCAGCTACTCTTGACAACCATGAGTGCAACAAATCTTTGCTCTGATGTCCTCGCAGCACGGGAAACTGACCAGTGCAGCCACAGGTACCAGGTACATCCTCTAGGACCAGCTCTTTCCCTTGTCTTAAAAAGCTTTAAGGAGGCTGGTGTGGTGGTCCACAACTGGAACCCCGGCGCCTGGGAGGCAGAGGCAGGTGGAACTGAGTTTGAGGCCAGTCTGGTCTACAATTACAGGACATACAGGGTTATACAGAGAAACCTCAAAATAACAAACAAAGCTTTAATGATTATATCAACTAGCTTTCGAAGTTCCTATCCTGGTGTTTATTTTTCAGTTTAAAAAATAATTATTTTTTATGTGTCTGAGTGTTTGGGCTGCACCTATGTCTGTGTACCACATATGTGCTTGGTGACTGCAGAGGTCAAAAGAGTGTCTGATACCATGAAACTGGAGTTTTAACCAGTTTGTGAGCCACCATAATAGATCCTGGGGATTGAACTTGAATCCTCTGCAAGAGCAGCCAGTTCTCTTAACCCCTGAGCCATCTCTCCAACCTCCTACCATGGCATTTAAATCTCCAGTAAGCTGGCCCCAGCCCGTCATCTTTGTAAATTCTGCCAGGCCCTCTCCAGCAGGAGAACTCTGCCAGATGACACGGCTGCTGCATGTTCCTTCCTCTGTGCACTGCTCACATCTCTGAGGGCCTACCACGTGCCAGGTGCTACTTGAAGCACCAGGAATGCAGCAGAGGCCTAACGGACAAAAAGCTCTGCCCTCACAGAATCACTCGGGGGTGGGGGGGGGGGGGGGGGGGGGGGTGAGCAGCAAACAATGAGAGCAAGAAGCACCATAGAGAAAAGCAAGGCAGGGAGCAGCATAAGCATGCTTAGGGAAGGGCAAAGATCAGGCAGAGAAGATCTCTGCCGAAGACAGCCCAGGCAGACAGAACAGACAACAGCTCTGAAATGAGAGCACGCCATGCTCACGCCAGCCAGGGGCCAGTCACTAAAGCAAGGACAACACAGCAACAGCAGCTGGCCGGAGGAGTGTCAGCAAGAACTGATTCTACTGGAACTGAAGGATGCTTTGAGCAGCGAAGGATACAAGTCTGACTCTGGCTTCTGAATGTCAGGCTGTCTGAAGAACTGGGAGGGACGAGGACAGGAGCAGGGAGACAAAGCCCAGGTCCAGTGGGACAGAGCAGAAAACAGGATCGCTGGTGAGTTAGACTACGGAGTACGAGGAGAAGGGCTGAGCACGATGTCAGAGCTCTTGACTGAGGAACTAAGAAAACAGGACTTACTAAGAGGGCAGACCACAGGACGGAGAGAGAGGCCCAGAGTTCTGTTTCACACACGCCTTCAGATATGTCAGGAGGTGCCATGGTTTAATGTGCCCTCTAAAACACATTAAAATCTACTCTCTAGTGTCGCAGAATTAAGTGGCAAAGCCTTTTAGAGGGGCTGAGAGCCACAAAGGCTCTGCCCTCAGCGATAGACTCCCTTACCTCGGGACCAGGCCCCTGAAGAAATGATGGCATTCAGCTCCCATCCTCCTCTCCCGCTTGGCCCACGTCCCTTGCCCTCCCACTGCCTCAGAACAGAGTAAGAAAGCCTCACACCAGATGCAGCTGCTCTGTGTTGGATTTCCAGCCTCCCAGAATGGGAGCCAACTAAACTCACTGTGTTCCTGATTTACCCAGCCTGTGAGCTTTGGTTAGAGCAGTGGAAACACCCCAAGATAGGTGTCCTCCAACGCCTGTCAGCTAGACAGCTCTGCAGACCCCTCCGAATCCAGTGGTGCATCCACGAGAACACACAGACCTGGGAGTCATCAGCAAACTGTTTTTAAAACGCGAGGCTACACGAGATCCCCAGGGAGTGAATGAACCAGAACCAAGCCTTGCAACACTCTGACGCCTACAACTTAGGAGATGGAGAAATCAAATACAAGCCCAAATGTGCAGCCAGTGAATAAATTAAGAAGGAAAAAAAACCAAACAAACCCTGGTCATGTGATATGAAGGCTGGCATTAACTACTACGGCTAGCAAAGTGCCAATCACTAGGGACCTTGGCAAGAAAGAATTTGGGAGCAATCAGGACAAAGGCTGGATGGAGTGAGTTCAAGAAAGAACTGGCTGAGAGGAAGCGGAGCTGGTAAGCCCAGCCAGATCTCCCAGGCCATCCACCATGCCCTGGACAATGTGACCTCAGGCGAATCAGGAGGGGGCTTGCTCAAGCCCCACATGGACTCTATGAAACAGGCAATATTTATGGCCGTTTACTGGTCAAAGCGAAGCTTGGAGTGCTGGCTACAGGTGTCTTGAGAGGAGGAAACCTAGATTAAGAAAATGGCTCCTAGAGACCAGGCTGTAGGCAGCCCTGTAGGACATTTTCTTAACCACTGATTCATGTGGTGGAGCCCCCTGTGGGTGGCACAGCCCTGGGCTGTTGCTCCTGGCTTCTATAAGGAAGCAAACTGAACTACCACAGGCAGCAAGCCAGTCAGCAGACTCCTCCGTGGCCTCTGCCTCAGCTCCTGCCTCCAGGGTCCTGACCTGTCTGAGTTCCTGACCTCGCTGCTTTTAATGATGAACTGTTATATGGACTGCGAGTGAAATAAACCCTTTCCTCCCAGGTTGCTTTTGGTCCCTTTGTTTCATCACAGCAATGGAACCCTAACTATGACACTCAGAGAGGTTTAATAACTAGACCAAGGTCAGAATCGGAGTGACAGGACCAGAAATCCTCAAGATGTTTTGGAGTCCAGTCCAAGACAGGTATCTCTCGTGTGGAGTCCCCAGCTTTTGGGGGGGGGGGGTGTCAGAGCCTACATCTTCCCAAGGATTGAACAGTTTTTTTCAAGGACTAGTAACGTCTACCGCTGGCCTCTGTGGGGACACCAGAGCAGACTCTAGCTTCCCAGCTGAAGCTCTTGTGAACTCATCACTGCTCTGTGAGAGTCACTGTGGCACTGACCTGAGTTGGGAAGCACGGATCCCTTGCCATTCTTCACATCCACCACCCAGGTGGCTTCTTTGCCTCCAGGGCCGTCCTTCACTTTGAAGGCAAAAATCCCACCGATCTTCTTCACGAACTGTTCCCCTTCCTGGAAGCAGAAGTAACACCGGGAATTACCTTCAGTCCCCTCCTCCGGCTTTAAACACATATTTAAAGGTGACATGCATGAGCAGCTGGGATGGCAGAGCCCTCAAACACTGATTGGATATTTACTCAGGAGTCGGAAGGAAACCAGCAACAATTCCCCATCTGTCAACTCTGAAAAGCAGCTTTACGGATGGAAAGAAGGGGTGACTTCTAATTTTGGTTCTCCACAATGAAGACTTAAAGTGACTCTGAAACAAAGCTGTCTTTAAAAGTTTAATTCCTGTCTTAGTATAAAGAGCTATGTAAAAAAATATTCTATTTGCCTCTTGATTTTGTATCTTGGGAATACAGTGGCCCAGCACAGACGATGTCACAGCAATCTCTAGCAGATGGCTTTCCCTTCTCTCTTCCTTCCTCTTTGCTTCCCACTTTATTCTCACTCTGTTCTCTTCATCTTCCTTAAACGTTATTGTCCCAGACTCTGTTCTAGGCACCAAGACTACAGCAGTGAGGGATCAGACCAACGCAGCCTGCCAGGACTCTGCACTGCAGTGGCAAAAGCATCCAATCAGAGGGAGCACAGGGACACGGGAGCTGCTGGCACGGGGGACAATGAAAGAGGACAAGGGCACACGCACCTTGTTCTAAAGAAAAGCAGGGGCTGGTGAGACGGCTCTATGTTTGCCTGTGACCTGAGTTTAATCCCCAGAACCCATTATAAAGGCAGAAGGAGAGAATAGCACCAAAGTTTCTTCTGATCCCCCCAGATCATAGCAGACATTACTGGCCACACACACACACACACACACACACACACACACACGTAAACATGCACACTTGCCTGTGCGTGCACACACATCATGCACCCAGACAACAGAATAACAGTAAATAAAACTTCTAATTACAAAAGAGAGTCAGGTCAGCAGGAGAGGAGGCTCAGTGGTTAAAAGTGACTATTCTTCCTGAGGATCCAGGGTTGATTCCAAGCAACTACATAGTGGCTCACAACCATCTGTAACTCCAGTTCCTGGGGATCCAAAACCCTTTCTGGTCTCCATGGGCACTAGGCACACACACGGTGCACAGATATGCACGTAGGCAAACACACCCGTACACGTGAAACAAACTAATTCAAAATAAATTTTAAAAAAGAAAACCAAAAGGAGCACAATTACTTTTTTGAAATCTTTTTTCTTTAAGGAAGAAACATGTTCACTGTAGAAAAATCAGCAAATACTGATAAGCAAAAAGAAGAAAATACAAATCATTTCTAATCTTATCATGTAAAGAAAAATCGTACTGGTATGAGCGCCATCCTTTTCCTCTGTACATGATTTTAACAGTGGGTTCCTGTTATCCTGACACTCAGGAGGCCGAGGCAGATGAATCTCGGTGAGTTCCGGGCTGGCCTGGTGTACACAAGCAATCGGGAACAGCCAGGGCTGCAGAGAGGCAGTCTGAATCCAGTGGGTGGGGGTGTCGGCTGCCACGGCGTATGCCTGCAGTCCTCCTGAAGCAGGAGGCCCGCCTGAGCGCTACAGTGAGTTCAAGGCCAACCTACGCTGTGTGGTGACACCCTAATCCAGAGGAGGGGGCCTTTCCTAGCCTGCCTCTGCCTCCCTCATGCTGCAACTGAAGAGTGAGTCAACCATAACACGTGGTTTGCCTATTTTTTTCTATACAGAAAAATCTTTTTACGTGTGTGTGTGCATGGTGTATTACACATGGTGCAATTACGGTAGACTTCAGACCCTATATGTACTCTTTCACAGTACACAATTTGGCACCTTTTTTTAGTGTACTCTAAAGATGCGTATGACAGTTAATCTTCATTATCAACTTGACAGGATTGAGAATCATATAGGAGACACACCTTGCTGTCTGTGGGTGCATTTCCAGAGGTTTAACTGAGACCCCACCCTGAGTGTGGGCGGCACCATCCCATGTGGCGGGGTCCCACACCAACTAAGAGGCCGGCTGAACGGCTGCACTTCCCTCTCTGCCAGAAGCTCCTGGCTGCGGGCGTGATGACTCACCTCCTGCCACCATGCCTTCCCACATGTTCAGACCACGCCTTTCTTAAACCCTGAGCCAAAATCAACCGTTCTCTCCTTAAACTGCCATCAGGCAAGTGCTCAGAGGCAGGGAGAGCAACTGACGTAAGCATGCAACACTAACGTCCTCCTCTCCTTGCAGTCAGTTGTCATTTTCTGATACTAGCTTCTGAAGAGCACAAACCTATTTTGTTTCTACAAACTGGCTCATCCTGAACATTTCCTTTAACAGAACCACAGGGCATGTGCTCTTTGTGAGTAACCTGTTTCCCTTCGCATGTTCTCAAGGCTCATGCTGGATGGGTATCACCTAGTACCTCTCTCCTCTGGTCAGATAATTTCCCAGCGAATGTGGCTTCTTTGTTTATCTATGTGTGTTTTTGTGGTACGTGTGTGCATGTGTGTCTATGGTGCATGCATGTATACACATGGAGGAAGGGGTGCTCACACCTGCAGGCACACACAGGTGCCACAGACCGATGTCTTTCCACTTTGTTTCTTTTTTATTTTTATTTATTTTTGTTTTTTTGCTTTTCTTGAGGTAGGGTCTCTCTATGTAGCCCTGGCTGTCCTGGAACTCTCTACGTAGACCAGGCTGGCTACGAACTCACGGAGATCCACCTGCCTCTGCCTCCCGAGTGCTGGGATTGTGCTAGCTTCCACCTTCTTGAGCTGAGGCCTTGGAGCTCAATGTTGCAGCTGGACTGGCCAGCCAGCGAACTCTACCAGCAGTGAATGGGGGTTCAAATTCCTCTGCAGCCTCGCTACTGATTGTTACCGGGTATAGTCAGTCCACTGGGCGTGCTCAGCCTTTTCTTAGAGTTACTACCCTCCAGCCTACCAAGAAGCAGCCATGAGTCCTTCAGCAAAGCAGCTGTCCTTAGTATTTAGTCTGCATCTTCTTTCTCAGCAGTCACAGGACATTTCCCCTCAGCGCTAAGGATCGGACGCAAGCCCGTGGATGACACTTCCAGGTGTGTCTGTCTGCTTGCACGGTGCCTCGAGACCCAGCCAGCAGCAGACACCAGGGAGGAAAATCCTTGCAGGAAAATCCCAGCAGAAAAATACTTGCAGGAAAATCCCAGCAAGCATTTACAAGTTCTACCTTCTAAATGCCAAAGCCTCCCTCTTCCCTCCCACTGCTTAAGACAGATGTAAATGAATTTGCACTGGCTGTTCCTTCTGGAGAACAACTGACCCTTTTACAAAACCCACACTCTGCAACAAAACATTTTCATTTGAAATGGGAGTGAAAGCAGGTAAGAGTTAAAAGAGAAAAACACAGTCACAAAACTGGAGAGAGACCATTACCACCAAGAAGTGCCTCTTAAAGTGCTCTCTCAGTGGACCGAAGGTCAGGGAGTGGGTGCTGCTGTAAATGCAAGAGGACAACAAATGAGGCCAGAATTCAAAGAACGCCAGTGGAGCACCGCTATGGACGACAAAGGCAGAAATAAGACCTCTCGCTAGGTTGCCTCCGCTAAGGCAGAAAATGCATTCATTGACAAAGCGTCCAGACTTTCACTTTCTAGCACTGCGAACACTGAGGAAACTGACAATCGTGGGAAGGAAAAAACGACTAGGAATAAGGTTATGAAGGGGCACAGAATTAAAATGAGAGCAAGACGCATAAGCTTGCACAGTAAAAGCACAGTGCAAACCCGAAACTGCACCTCTTTGTTAACGCAGTAAGGAAGTCCTCAATGACAGATCCTGCCTACCTGCCTACACAGAGGCAATCTCTAACCCAATCTTCTCATGTGACCTTTGAACCAAGTCCTCACAGAGTTCCTCGCTTTACTGTGGACACTCAATAGTGAAAGGCATTCAAAGCATAGCAGTGGGGCTGGAGGAGACGGCTCAGTGGTTAAGAGCACTGTCTGCTCTTCCAAAGGTCCTGGGTTCAATTCCCGGCGACCACATGATGGCTCACAACCATCTCTAATGTGAACTGATTCCTTACACTCATATACATAAAAAACAAATAAATCTTTAAAAACAAAACGTAGCAGTGAGCTATCTTTTTCTGACTAGGCTGGCAGAGACTTTTATATAATAAGCCAATACAGTCCTGGAGAAGGCAGGAAGCAGAGGGAAAAAGCAGCTATTCTCTTGAGCTGTTAGTAAGCCTGCAGACGATTATCCTCTCTAGTGGGAGTCTGGCAAGTAGATGAAAACGTAAAATGTGCACACTTGACTACCCAATTCTGTCCTTTAATTATTTCGACTAGTTAGTACAAAATGGAATTTACAGGAATGTTGCACTTGCAAAATTTAAACATAATCTGACAGCCATCATAAGAGGCCAATTAAATAAATTATGGTACATATGTGCAATGTACTAAAAAGAGCATGTGAAGGGCCTATATAAACGGCCATAGCACATACTACAGATGAAAACAGAATGACGTCATCCCCCAAGATGGCAGCCTAACAGTCGCGCGGCTCCCATCCCAGTGTTATGCCAGGGCCCATCAGCCTGGCTCTGCTCCAGCCCCAGAAGGCGGCTGATCATTGCGAAAACCCTGGAACCCTGGCAAGGCACACTAGCCACAGTACAGGAACTTCTGAAATGTACCCAGTGTTTGCCTTTCCCTCTGTGGCTTTAACAGGAGTGAAACATAGGCCTAAAAAGCCTTGATTGCTTTTGTTTAGTTCAGCCTACTTTAATCACCTTCTCAGACGTATAATCCGAATTTCAATTGTGGCTGTAACTGTGTCTGGTTTGGTTGAAAATATAAAATCAATAGTGAGATCCCAAGAGACTTCTACATTTCAAACAATGAAATAAATACCTAATCTTGCCTATGAGTAGCTTTTTTAAAAATTGCCTTTGTATGTCATTTATTGACCAAGAACTAATTATGGGTGTGCTGAGAGATGGCTCAATGGTTAAAAGTACTGGCTGCTCTTCCAGAGGTCCTAGGTTCAATTCTCAGCACCCACATAGTGGCTCCCAACCATCTGTAACTGCAGTCCCACAGATCCAATGCCCTCTTCTGGTGTACAGATACACATGCAGACAAAACACCCATATACATTAAGTAAATAAATAAACCTTTAAAAAAAAAAAAAAAGAGCAAAAACTCCACTTATTCTTGCAGAGACCTGAGTTGAACTTCCAGCTACCCACATGGTAGTTCTCTCTCTCTCTCTCACACACACACACACACACACATATAATTCCAGTTCATGCTGACAAGACACCCATACACATAAATAAATGTAAGAAAAACAATTTTAAGTAACTAGTTAGAGTACATAAAAATGGATTTTCATGTGTAATACAAAAAACCCATCACGTATCATAGGGTCCTGGCTATGTAAAATCCTGGTTTATACATATGATGAGGGTGACAAACAAAATGATCACCATGTTAACACTTTAGGGAACTCTCTAAGTGGTACAATTGGTGAATTTTGACAGTTTTCTTTTTTAAAGGATTTACTTATTTTTAAATAACATATTGTTAATGAATTTAGATATGGCAGGTTTTTATTATTTGCACTGCTGTTTTGCCTGCATGCATGTCTGTATGAGGGTGTCAGGTTCTAACATGTAAGAAACCCTTTGCCTCCCAGTCCAGGCTCTGGTCTTTGGTAATATTTTATTTATGCTCTCACCTCTTCGAGCTTCTTCTCGATCTCCTTAAAGACAAGATTGGCCTTGAATCCATCACTTGCAGAGCTGGTGGGAGCAGCCGAAATCTGGTGTGTTCTGAAGGAGCTGTGGAAGGAATCAGTGTCAGTTCTGGGGGTCGCAGAAGTGCTTGGGTTTTCAACATTTAGGTAACAGGAGCTTTCAGAGAGCCCCAAGAACAGAGATGGTGTAACTCTGATCTTAAGAACATCTTTAGTAAGTACACAAAACAATTCCCTAACTCCCACCCTACAACAAATACTGAGTTCTCTCACACGGTGAAGCTACCCGCATGAAACTTACAGGCCAGAGAGACCATTAACAGGAAAAAGAAAGAAAGGGCATCCAGTTACCTTAAGAAAAGAACCAGCTAAGCAGCTGGAGAGAGGGGACCTGAGGGGGCATCTACTGCAGATGGCAGTCAGGGAAAGCCCCTCTAGGGAGGTAATACTTACATTTCCCCTTCAGCTACTGAATGCACAAGCCCCACAAAAAGTTATGGTGCGGAAGCCAACACCAGCCTGCAGGAACTTGGGTATAAAGGCAGAAAAGGAAATACAAGGAAACTAACGCTGGAAGAAACCAAGGGGCAGAGAACAGAACAGGGGTCTCCCAGGCCTTGCTAGCAGGGTAAGTGGGGCTTGTTTCTATGTTTTCTTGCCAGTTTACCTATTCATTCGTTTGTAGTGCTGGGGATGGACTAGAGGCTCTTAGGCATGCGAGCCAAGCACCCTGGCACTACAGTGCCCCCAGCCCCTCACATTTCAGTTTTAAAGTTCAGAGTGTAGCTCAGGGGTACAACAGGTGCTTAGCATGGGAAAGGGCCCTGGGTCAGATCCTCATCACAAAAACAAAACAGACAAATGGACAAACCAATGCCCTGAGTATCAGCTCTAAACATAATCAGAACATTGGCGCATGATCTAAGCTATGTCTTGAAAAACAAGTCTAGCTGTCAGCTGGAAAATGGACCTTAAAGAGATGAGCCGGAAGGCAGGGAGAACAACTAAGGGCCTATTGCAATCACCCAAGCGAGATAATGGCAATCAGAGCTGAATGACAAGGAAGTAGGTGAGGCGGTGGGGCACAGCACGGCTGGACTGGATTCCCTTTCACCTGTGATGGAAGATAATGTTCCCAGAAGACACCCACTGATAATGGCCTGATGTGGCATTATCAACACAGCTCCTAAAGCGCATCTTCCATGCACAAGCAGTAGGATTCTGAGTAAAGGGCTGATATCATCGCACTGCACAGCGGGAGGGAGAGAAGGGACGGTGCCCAAGACTTCATGGAATTCAAACAAGGGCCTGCGTAGAAGCATCTTGAAGTGTGCAGCCCATGGAAAACAGTAACAGCCACAACTGTTGTGAGCCACAGGAGCCCAAGTGCCAGGTCTGAGGAAACAGTCAACTTTCAGCTGCAGCTGTTAGATAATTCCTCTGACAGACCCGCGGAGGCTGGCGAGGGCAGAGAGGAAAGAAAACATCCATTCCCATCGTCACTCCTTCCTTCCCCTTCTCCCAGTACGCTCCTTCTTTCCCTCTTTCTCCCCTCGCTCTGTGGGAACCGAACCCAGGGCCTAGTACAGGCTAAGCAGGACTTTACCAGTGAGCTACACTCTCACCCTCGTTCAGTGATTTTACAACCGTCTAAACTTCAACGGTGGTATGTGCCTGTTAATCCCAACGAGGACCGAGTTCAGGGCCAACGTTGGCTACGTAGTAAGTTTCAAGCTAACCTGGGCTACCTAGGAAGATCCTGTCTCAGAAAAAGAACAAGCTGGGCATCGTGCTGCATGCCTTTAACCCCAGCATTGGGAAGACAGGGGCAGGCAGACTGCTGGACAGCCTGGCCTACACAGGCAATTCCAGGTCAGACAGCGATACATAGTGAGACCCTGCTTTAAAAAGAAGGGGAGAAGGCAGGAAAGAAGGAAAGGAAGGAAGCAAGCAAGCACCAGTTGTTAAATACACAAGCAACATCAAGCGACTGCCTACAACACGCAGGCCATAGTGTTCACGGAATGCTCTGAGTCCCAGCTAGTACCTTAGCAAGCGGAGGGGGAGCTGACGACCTAAAGAGTAACTTGCCAAGACCTCAAGGGCAGAAAGAACTGGCACAATGGGAGAAAATAATACAAGGTCAGAGGGACCAACACAGTAACCGTGGGGAAAAGACATGGTTGGTGTGAAGGCGGAGGACTGCGTAGAAGACACAGGCGGCCCCAAGCAGGAACCTGAGGAGCCAGAGACACAGCAGTGAAGCAGAAGAGCGTGGCGTGACAGTCCTCCCAGCAGTGTCGGATGACTCCGAGAGGGGACATGAAAACGGGAAGAGGATGGTTAGGGGGCTGCTGTGGTGGTCCAGGGTGAGGATCGCTGGCCCGGCCTACCGGTGGCAGCCTGCTAATGGAACTGAAAAGGAAACAGATTCAGAACAAGAGCACAACCCACTTTGGTGCTGGGGTGAGGGACAGGCAAAGCGGGTACAAGGCTGTCTCGGGAGTTTGGGGGTGGCTGGGAGTGGCAGCCACTAAGATGAGGAAGAGGAAGTGGGAGCATGGGAGGGGGGCGCTTATTCAGCTGGAGAAGTCTGTGAGGCAGAGAGAGGAAAGTGGATAGGAAAAAGTATAATTCACAGGGATCCAAGCTGGAGACTGAGTGAAGTAACCATGAGCAGAATCAGTGTTGAAATCCTGGAACAGCCTACAGAGAAGACAGCCCCAGGACTGGCCTTTGGAACCCATTATTTAGAGGTCTCGGAACCAGTGAAGATTCATTCAGAAATCAGGCAAAATGTCACAGGAGCTGAGAGCAGATAAAGTCTAGGAGGTTAAGAGTCAAGTATGTCAAAACCCTCCCAAAAGGTTGACACAGATCTGGTTCTCCTGAGACATCCTTTTATGGGACAGCAAATTGAATCCATCCCTGAAGCGGGGATGCTAGGAGAGTTACATGCTTGTTTGGGGTAGGATGAAAATGGAACCTTTGAATGATCTCTTAAAGAAATGCAGCCTTGTGTTCTAGCTGTAGGCACAAGACAGGCCCGTACAATTTGAAGAACACCAGTGTTTTAAGTGTGCTAAACTGTACATAGACAGCCAGATATAGTGGTGCACTCCCGGAACCCCAGCACTTGGGAGGCAGAGACACGAGGATTGAAAGTTGAAGATCACCTTCAGGCACAGAGTGAGCTCATAGCCATCTTGGACTACACGAAACTGTATCTCAAAACATAAAACAAAAACCCACAGCACATAAACGTCATCCAACTACTTTTAGCTGTCATGTTTCATATTTTCAGAACGCTGAGCAGCTACCATCGCCATGCAGCTCTCACTCTCTTCTCACCTTAGAAAGCTGAAACCCTGGGCCTGGAGAGATAAGAGCACTGACGGTTCTTCTAGAGGACCCAGGCTCGATTTCCAGTACCCACATGGTGGCTCCCAACCATCTGCAACTCCAGTTCCACAGGGTTCACTGCCCTCTGCAGGCAATGCACGAATATGGTCCGCATTCATTCATACAAAACAGACATGCACATAAAATGAATGAATGAATGAATGAATGAATGAATGAATGAATGAATCTATCTTAAGGAAAAAAAACTGCCTTATGTGGTGGCACACGCCTTTAATCCCAACACTTCAGAACCAGGGGCAGGAGAATCTCTGTGAGTTCAAGGCCACCCTGGGCCACAGCAAACTCCATGTCAGCCAGGGCTACACAGTGAAACCCCTCTCTTAAATAAATAAGTTGGTTTTATAACTTTTAATCATCACTAAAATCATCCTGGCTGGGCACTTCTTGACTCTATCTGATAAAATAATTGATCCTGGCAGCCCAAAAGTGTACAAAGTATCTTGACTACGTGGCAAGTCCAGACACATTCCAAAGAGCAAGGTTCTCATTTGGAAAAGCTCATCATGCTATTGATTAACCGACTCTTCATCAAGATTAGAAAAAAGTTAACATGCAAAATAACATCAGTGTTTTCTGAATGCCCTTCCTTGCAAGCCCTGTTTCAAAGAAACTAATAACTTAAACTCAGCTATCTCTCACACAAAAGATGTTTCTCCTGATTTCTTTTTGTTTTATTGTTGGCTTTGTTTTATCTTGCTGTGTTACCCAGGCTAGCTTAAGTCATCTTCCCCTCAGCTTCCTGAGTCTTGGAATACAGGTATATGCCTACCATCAAGCAGAGATTCTCACAACTTTTTAAAAAAATTATTTATTTTACATACATTGGCGTTTGACCACATGTGTGTCTGTGTGAGGGTGTTGGAACCCCTGGACCAGGAGTTGTAGACAGTTGTGAGATATCATGTGGGCGCTGGGAATTGAACCGGGGTCCTCTGTAAGAGCAGCCAGTGCCCTTAACCACTGAGCCATCTCTCTAGCTCCCCATAACTTCTTTAGATACAAAATTTTAGTAGAAACTAAATTGTACTTGGTTTGTATGTGAATTTGGTAAATACAAGTTTACTGGAATAAATCTAGCATGGATAATGCTGGAAGGGGCTTAAAGATTACTTTAAAGAATGTTCTAGTTTGTGTTTGGACTCCCACTAAATACGTGGGAAGTTTCACTGGATGGCCTGACAGGCTCTCCATCAACCATGTCACAGACTGGGACTGAAGAGAAACAAATGAAACAGGCACAGGTGCACTGGGACAGATGGTGGCTAACACCTTGCTTCCGAATCTCAAACTTTCTTTAGCTAATCTGTCCTTACTCTGATCACCAAGTTATCTATAGTGAGTTTGGTACTAGCTACTACACAAAAAGATGTGGCTGCGGACTCACTGCTCAGTGACAGAGCACCTTCCTAGCATTTGATGCTCTGGGTTTAATGCCCGGCACAGCCAGAAAATAAAAAATAAAATAATAAAATAAAATAATATAATAAAAGGTTAGTATAACGCACCTAGGTGATACAAACCAGGCCTTTGGAAAGAGATGGCCAGGAGTGGTGGTTCAACTCACTTGGAAAGCGGAGGCAGGTGGATAGGGCCTTCCTGGACTACAGTGTGCAAAACCCCACCAAAAGAAAATGGAGGAAGGGGTCTAGTTGTTAAAAAAGCTCTTACAACTCAACAATAACCCAATTTTTACACTGCTGAAGGTTCTAACAAACAATTCTGCGATGATGATACACAAAAGGTGAATAAGCATCCCAGGAAATGATGTTCTGAAAATGATTAGCTACAGAGGAGATGCAAATCCAAACGGTGAGGTATCACTTCATATCCATTCAGTGCTAAAATAAAAAGAACAGGAAGGACGAGAGTATGGAGAGCTTTCATACAAACAAGATGGTACTCAGCCTTTGAAAGGAATAACACACCCTGAAAACACTATGTTAAGTCAAAGAAGCCAGTCGTGAAAGCTTATGACTTCCTTTATATGACATATAAAGGAAACCATATGACTTCCTTTATATGACATACGCAGAGCAGGCAAATCCAGAGACAGGGACTGGGTGAGCAGCTGTCAGACTACAAGTGAGAGAGACTGGAAGTGAAAGCCTGTGGGGCTATGTGTTGGGTGTGAAGTGGGTGACAGAAATGTTCTAAAACTGGTCATGGCCAGGCCAATCCTGAAAACCACTGGGTAGACTTTAAACGGGTGGGCGGTGCAGCTTGCAAAGTGTGTCTTAAGAGAGCAGCTTAAAATCATTTCTAAAAAGCGGTTACTGATAGTCTGATAGGATTTTAGATGAATACAGAAGTCCTCCAATTCACATTCCCTCTTAAGTAACGTGTCACCCCTTGTTCTGGGGGTTACGCAAGGCATGCAAGCTTGGGAGAGCAAAGTTCACAAGCAATCAGCAAGTCCCTTTGATCTGAAAGCCACATGGCAGGACAGGCATAGAGCCTTGAGAGCTGGGCCTTAAAAGAAAGCTCTTCAGGCTATGGTGGGAAATACATCCAGGTCATCCTTAGCTGAGCTGTGGGCTGTGAAAGTGGGTATCCCCCATTTTGTCCTAAAAAGTCAAGTTCATTTTCCCCAAACTCCTGAGTGATACCCAGAATTCAGTAAGACTATTCCAACCACTCCACCAGGGATGTGAACCAGAGGCACAGGAAAGAAGAAGGGTGGGTATGCTGGAGAGGAAACTCACAGCTCCCCCAGCAGCTACAGCATGTGGCAGGCACACTCTGGTAGTTTTCTCAACCCTAAAGTAGACGCTGTCAATATTCTCTAAGTGATGAAAAGGTTAACAGGCCCAAAACATACAGTGTGATTTAAAAAAACAAAACAAACAAAGACAGTAGGGTACTCTTTCTGGCCATCTCTCCCTCTTTGTCTGGAAAATAACACATACACATACATACAACATACATACAACTTAAAATGACTCCATCTACAGACGGTATTTAACTCATTTTCTAAATTCCTATTCCATCTGCTAAAAACTGATGGTGAGTATAGAAACAAATCAATCCCACTGTGTTATCCCTAAGCGTTCTATTTAAAAACAATCTAAACTAATGCATGTGTGTCCACTGTGTCTCCTGAGAAGGTCTGGGAGTGGCAAGAACGAGCCCCTAGCTAGCAGCCGTAGGTGGTGTCTCGGCATCTTTCTGCACTAGAGGAAACCAAGACTCCTTGGAGAGATAACTGATGCCAGGGATGACACATGAGAAGTTCAAGAGGGGCTGGAGGGATGGAGTTGGAGTCGGTGCCCAGAACCCACAGCAGGCAGCTTACTATCACCTATAATTCCAGCTTCAGTGAATCCGGTACCTTCACTCACCTGCATGATTATGCCAGCACACACATACATAAGTGAACATTAGAAATGGAAAAAGGAAAGTAGGGGGAGAGATTGGACGATCGTCTGAGCCAAAAAAGAGGGAAAGGAAGCACTACAAAGAGTCATGGGACAGTTTGAGGGGCTTCCCACTGGCCAAACCAGGAGTACCAAAATGACTGATACGAATGGAATGCGGCATCCTGGAATCAAACAGTGCATATGAATACATTTAAAACCACGAGAGGAGGAAAAGTTCTTTCTTACAGCAGAGTATCAGTTAGTAACCGCAAAAGGAAAAGTTAGAAAATCATCAGCGGGTGCTAAAATTAAAGGAGTGCCCCTGTAGTTTGCCTTTTTAATGAACTTACTGACATCCATAAAAAGGGCAAACTACAGAGGCAGAAACCAGTCGCAAGAGGTCAATGTAAGGGCGGCTGGAAAGGTACATAAAGAGGCGAAGAGCTGGTTATGGTGGCACACACCTTTAATCCCAGCACTCAGGTGGCAGAGGTAGTTGAATCTGTGCGAGTTCCAGGACAGTCAGAACAACATAGTTTGACCCTGTCTCAAGGGGTTAAAAAAACAAAAAACAAAACAAAATAAAAAAACCTAAAAGACTAGGAGAAGCAGCAGATTACAGAATCACTATGGATCTTGCCTGGAGTATTAATTACAGACTTATACATCATTTACGTGTGAGAACTTGCAGGAGTATACTAAGAGTTGAAGCAGGAAGATTACCAACTCCAATACAAGGGCTTGCCTGGGCTACAAGTGTAAGACTGTCTCAAAAGAAAAAAATCTGTGGACAAACTTTCTAATTTTACTCTGAAGAAAATAAAGAACCTATGCTAATTCTACCAACTGTGTTGGTTTTTTTTTTTTTTTTTTTTATAGCTTGACTTTTTTACTAAGGGATTTCCTCTACAAGTGTGAACTGGGTGATATTCTAAGGTCATCAGCGCAGAACGGACCAATCAGATTTAGGAAGTAACAAGATTCAACCCCCTTTGTTTGGTTCAAAAACATCTACTCACCATGAGGCAGACCCTAGGGAGCTGGAAAAGTCACAGCCTTAATTAAGCCGCAAGAGACCAAAACTGCAGTAGAACCTAAGTTCTACAAAAGGCTGTGGATATTTGAAAAAAGGCAGTCTTTGAGATGGGTCTTAATGTTTGAAACAAAAATAGAATTCTGGGCAGAGAAAGAAAAGTGAGACCACAGACAGGAAAAACACCCCAAAGTTTATAAGTTAAGGCTCTAATAGAGCCTGTAAGAGTGGCCCCCATCCTTTGTAGAAGAAAACATACAAATAATTGATTAAATAAATGTCAAGAATTTCAAGCGGCTGGAGATGGCTCAGTGGTTAAGAGCACTGTCTGCTCTTCCAAAGGACCTGGGTTCAATTCCCAGCACCCACATGGCAGCTCACAACTGTGACTCCAATTCCAAGGATCTGACACCTTCACACTAATGCGCGTAAAATAAAATTAAAAATAAATTATAAAAAAAAAAAAAGAATTTCAAGAAAAAAAGGATCCCATTGGTGTTAAAAAGCTATAGTGTGGCTAAAGACTTGTAAGGAGGGAAAATATGATCAAAATTAAGCAATTAGGCTAGGAACACACCTGACCTCTGAATAGACCCTGAGCTACCCCAGCACACACAAAAGCAAAGGTGATTCACCATGAAAGGCTCATTCTGAAAGGGAATAATTAAAGCAAGAAGAATAAAAAAAATAAAATAAAAGGGATTTTTGTGAACTAGGGAAGATTTGCAAGGCGCCAATGAAGGGACAGACAGGAAGATGTAAAAGGTATACATAATAGTTCAGAAGGTGGTCAGAAACCAGCACACAGAGGAAAGCTGGGCCTTGGCAACGGAGAAGGAGGAACCCTGAGAGGCTGCAGGAAGTTAGGAGAGGGCCGGGGCAAGAGGTACCTTGGAGAGGCAGACACTCAAAGAGAGGAAGGAAGCAGGACACAAGCGATTCTAGTAACACGGAGGGCTTGATTCAGAAACACATTCGCAAGGGCGCACTGGCACATATATTTTGTGGCTTTCTCTGAACCACTCCAATAACCAGAGGCCAAAGGAGAAAGCCAATCGTGAGAAAGGAAACCAAAAGGTGACTTGCCTGGACTACGCTGGCTTGTGGGTCAGCATTCCTGGGGCGCCCCTTCCTTCTGAACAAAATTTTCCTAAGGCTACCCTGGTTTAAAAACTAACAGTCTTAACTTTCAAAGTCAGCTTAAGGAAGTAAAGTCATACTTTTCCCTTAAATGCTAAATAAATCAAAGTGTGGTTGGTTTGTTTAAATGCGCAAGCGTCACTGATTGTGACATCAGAAAACCAAAAGTGACAAAACTCAGGATGCCACTCACCTGGCCGCTTCGGGGAAGCCCATCTTGTAGAGGGTGACAACCACAGCTCCTCCAAGGCCTAAATTGTGCTGCAGAGCCACCTTGGCGCCGGGAACCTGCCGCTTTCCGGCTTCGCCTCTCAGCTGCCAGCAGAGCTCCGCGCACTGAGCCAGACCTGGCGAGTCGAGCACAGAGCGGCCCGGGCCGCGTTAGCGCGCAGTCTCCGCCCAGCCGCCCACGCGAGCCGCTAGTCATGACTTCCCTCCAAAGCCTCGCTCGCCCGGGGAAACTCATCCCAGTTCCCACGCTAAGAGAATTAGCATTTGAAAAGGACTCGTTCAGGACATCGTGAAACGCTCACGCTCTTCCTTCAACCCACTGTTTTCTGGCGTGTTGAAATAAAAAATGCAGCATCCAACAGACAAGGCAGGGGCAAGTGCAAAGGTAGGTGGCTCTCCGTGAGTTCAAGGCCACCCTGGTCTACAGAGTGAGTTCCAGGACAGGTAGGGCTACATAATAAGATTCTGTCTCCAAAAAGAGAGTAATAATTATTTTTTGAAGATGGGAACATTTGGGGGAAAATAAAATTGAACTCTAGAAAGATGCAGGTGCTATGAAGTGGGAAATGGAAGAAAAAAACGGGGTGGGAGGAGGGCGGGGTCTACAACACGAAAGTTTGAAATAGTCATAGGGAAGCATATTATTGTATATTTACCGGAAAATACATATAATACATGTAAGTGTGTGTGCATACATACGCACTCGTGTATATATTGCTTAAATGAAGTTACACCAGTTGGGATAAGAAAGCCTGTCCCAAGAGCCACAGACTAACAAAGCCCAGGGCTACAAGAAACCTTTTGAATTGTTGGTCAAGGAAGTTCAAGAGACTCCCAACACAATAAGGACTACTGGTGGGTTCATCCCAGAGGGCAAAGGTAAGAGTCTATGGCTGAAGACACAAGACTCAGAGGAGTCAAACTGGATCTAACCGAAAGCCTCCTTCCTGAGGACTGGCTCTCAACAGCACCTGAAGGTTCTATGCTGGAAGTGGGGAGTAGTCCTCAGCTATGGTGCCTATGAGCCACAAGAATGACTGACTACATCTCTCCAGCCCCAGATAGGGTTTCTCTGTGTAACCTTGTTTATCCTAGAACTAGTTCTGCAGACCAGGTTGGCCTGGTACTCAGAGATCCTCCTGCCTCTGCCTCCTGACTGCTGGGATTAATCACACTCAGCTGAAATTTGACTTTTAAATAGAAATAAAACAAGGTTAATTGCTTTAATAAGCACATTGTTAATGATTGCTTCTCTACTGTGGAAACTGCAAGAACTTAAAATAGTCCATTAACCAACACATACAATAAGATAATGAAGAGAACATAACATTTGTCTTTACAGAAATAAACCATAGAATTTTACCACTAAGTTATCTTAGAAACTGCAATACAGTTGTCACTAAAGACCTAAGAGTCAGCATGATTGATTTCAAACTGGTCAGAAGAATCAGATGCCAGTGGGCAGCAGAGCCATAGCAAAATCCTGATTTCATAATTTCTAGTCCAGTTTCTTAAGAGAAAATGAGTCCCATGCAATGCTAACCAGGCTTCCAATAACGTGTAATATGCTCATCTGAAATGATCTGATCTGGCAAGTCTAGCAAGATCTCTGTTAGGAAATAGCTTGTTAGCTGAGTGCAGTGCAGCTAAAAGGAAACCAAATGACTGTCATTAAAAAGGCATTAAAAGCTCCAGTCACCAAGCCAGTCAGAGAATGCAAACACACTGAAATCACAGACTTCACCCACCCACGGCAGTTCATACCCAGCTCAAAACCCCGGCATTTTAGAGGAACATGTATGGAGAAGCCTGCGAGTTTAAGGTCATCCTGAATTATACTGTGAGTTCCAGGCCGGCCTGAATTATAGCGTTAGGACTGTCTCAAGAAAAGCAAAATAAGGGTCAGCAAGGTGCCTCAGCAGATAAGGACATGCCACCAAGCTTGACGACCCAAGTTTGATCCCCAGGACTCATACAGTTGGAAAGAGAGACAGTTCTCTCACTGTCCTGTGATCCCCCATGTGTGCCACAGAACACAAATGTGTGTACATACAGACACAGTGAATAAATGTAAAATGTATTTAAAAAAACAAACTAAAATTTGTGTGCTCTGTCACCTGTAGCTCCCAGTGGGTGTCCCTTTGAAATGAGTCCGCCACTAGGGTTGATGACCCACTTTCCTCCGTAAGTGTTATCTCCTCTGTCGACCAGGGCTCCACCTTGTCCTGTGGAGGAAAATTTAGATTCACAAATGTTAAAGTATAACACTGGACAGACGGTGTGTTTAGCTTCCATATAGCCAAACACTTCTTTATTTCTTCTCTTTCTTCCTTCCTTCTTTCCTTCCTTTCTTTTTTTTTTTTCTTTTTGGTTTTTCAAGTCAGGGTTTTTATGTGTAGCCTTGGCTGTCTTGGACTCACTTTGTAGGACCAGGCTGGCCTCGAACTCACAGAGATCCATCTGCCTCTGCTTCCCGAAGTGCTGGAATCAAAGGCATGCTGCCAAAGCTTTCTTAATATAAACATTTCTTTTTATTTGTCTTTTTAATATAAACATTTCTTAAGAGCTTAATAAGTTGCTACAAATGCTTCTAAGTGTTAAGTCATGATATTGAGCAACAAAGGCTTATCTTTTAAAAAATGTTCTGCATGAAATAAACACTAGTTCTAATAGCCCTATGGCTTCCAAAACTGCCCCAACTGTATCAGAGAGGTAGAAAAGAATGCTGTCAAAATATATCCTCTGCAACACTTTACCTAAAATTACAGCTTCAAAATTAATAATTTTCAAAAGTACACTTATTTTATCTCTAGTTTCAGCTCTATTACTGTATAGTATATAAATTTTTTAATTAAAAAAAAAAAGAACATGCTGGTTGTGGCAGCACACACCTTTAATCCCAGCACTCAGGAGGGAGAGGCAGATAGATCTCTGAGTTTGAGGCCAGCCTGGCCTACTGAGCAAGTTCCAGTACAGCCACGGCTCCACAGAGAAATCCTATCCTGAAAAACCAAACCAAAACAAAACAAAACAAAAATGCAGGACTAGAAGTGTAGCTCTGTGGTAGAGTGCTTACCTAGCATGCGCACATGTTTGATTCCAGCCCCACAAAAAGCAAAAACCAAACAAGGAAAACCAAACAACAACACCCCCCACACACACTTTCATGAAATTAAAGACTGAACACACTGTTGCATAAAGGCTAAAAAAAAAAAAAAAAAAAAAAAAAAATTACTTCCAAGCCACAGGAATGGTGGCATGTGTCTTTCGTCACAGCACAGAGGCAGGCAGGTCTCTGTGAGTTCAAGGCTAACATGATCTACACAGTGAGTTCCTGAACAGCCAGCACTATGCAGTGAAACCCTGTCTCAAACCAAAACCCAAACAAAAAAACAACTACGAATTTATTTCACATGCTTCCTGGCGTCCACATTGGCTGTTAACGATTTGTTTACTGTTTGGGGGTGGTGACAAAATAAATAAAAGTGCACGGATTATATAAACTGTTCTTTCCAACGCTTTTCTGATCAGATTATAAGATCTGGGAGCTCCAGGTTTGCTGACAATGGTATGAGTGCTGTCCAGATACGCAGAGTAGCCACAGCCATGGAAAGAAGGAAGGAAAAGGAGTTTGGAAAGTGGGACCAAAATGGAGGGTCTTGGACAAACCTTATGGGGCTCTGGACATAGGCCCCTGAGGGGCCTAGAGTTTTCAAACCTAGAGTGCTTGAAAACAGAGGCACCGTTACTGCAGGAAAGGTCACAGAGAGAAGAGGCTGGGGACACTAGGCGGGAGGAAAGAGACAACACTTGGCCTATGCCTCTGTCTGGCCAAAGGAATCCGGGCAGACTCCGGGCTGTGATATAACCATAGCCTGAAAAACCATGCTGGCACTGACAAGAGCTGGCAAGGTGTGGTATACTCAGAGTTTATCTGAAGGTAGGGTCAGAGCCAACGGTACTCAAAGATGGATTCAGCGGGGGCGGTGTGAGAAAGGTCACTCCTGATTGATTGTGCAGAGGGGCAGCTGACAACCTCCTGTAACCAAGGGGTCCAACAGCCTCTTCTGGCCCTGTGCCAGAAGCTCACACAAATACACACACACAAAGAAATCTTTAAGAAAAATGATTCTACAGTTTCCAGTGTGATCAATTGGAGGATGTCAACGCTGGAGAAAGAAGCTTGGGAAATATTAACAGATCAGTTCTGAACTTAGAATTGAGATTTAGAGAAGCCATCAAAATACCTATCAAAACAGCACACACACACACACACACACACTAACTGGGCTCCCATTCTGTTGCTGAAGCATGCTCCCCATGGTTCTCCTCTTCCCAGGGGTGCTCCCCCTCCCCGCCCCACTGTTCCTTCCCTCACAGTGGCCTCCCCTATGGCCAAAGCTGAAGGCATGTATGCAGTGCTACTCACAGCTGCCTGAGGACCTAACGGCAGCCAAAGCAGGAGGATTAGCAAGGGAAATCCCAGGGAAGCTGCTGCTCAAGGGTGAGTTCCAGGTATGATTTCTCAGCCTGTCCCTAGCAGTTCTGCACAAGGGTACCAGGCCCCAGGGACAGTGCAGCATGGCAACAAAGGTGGTGTCAACACTGCAGAATGAAGTCTGTCCCTTCCTCTCCAACTCCCCCACACACACACAAACATACACACACTTGGCTTTTTGAGACAGTCTCTGTGACCCTGACTAGCCTTGGAGTCCAGACCCTCCTGTCTCTGCCTCTCAGGTGCACGGAAACCCCACCTTTCTACCCATCAGAACCAGGAAAACCAACTCCGTGGGCTGGATGGTAAGCAGAGAGGGCTGCAGCACAGAGAGCCAGGGTAGAGGCCCAGGTCCACACCCCCACACCAGTCCTGAGTGCACACTCACTCCTGAGCTACAGACCCCGGGATGGCCCCAAACCAGCACAGCACAGGCTCGGGAACTAGACAAGGGCATCAGCTGCCACCTCACAAGGCCAGTCAGAACCTGCCGACACAAACTGGGCTGACTACTTGCTGAATTACAAATAGTGTGGACCTGGGGGAGAAAACTCAGTCAGTGACCGGGTCACTGGGCGTGAGGCCTAGTCCCCAGCACCCACGGAAAAGCTAGATCTGGTGTGTGCGCCGGTATTCCTAGTGCAGGGGAGACAGACGGGCAGACTCCTGTGCTTCACTGGCCAGCCTGCATAGCCTGAGACCAGTGAGCCCCAGGTCCCATGCCAAACCCCGGAGTCCAGATTACAAACTTATCAAGAACTTTCAAACTGATACTACAGCTGCAAGGTGGAGAAGACGGGCTAGAAGCGAACACCAGGACAGGCGTTCTCAGCAGAGCCAAGAAGCCGGAAAACGAAGCCGACAGAAATCTGACAAGCAAAATCTTTGAAATAAGACACCTCATCCAGAAGTGGCGGTACACGCCTGCCACAGCAGCACACAAGCTGCAGGGGCTGCAAGGTCAAGGCCAGCTCCGTGAGAGAGGGCTTCGGACAAGCTTTCGGCACTGGAGACTGGACTCAGGGTCTTTTGCATGCAAGGGAAACACTGCCTACTGAGCTAAGGCCCCAGCTTGGGATCTGTCTCTATAAAGAAAAAAAGGAAAGGAAAAGAAGAAAAAGAAAAAAGAAAAGAAGATCCTACCACTCTGGAGCCTGAAGCAAGAAACCCGTCGTGTGATCAAGGCCAGCAAGACACTGTCTCAAAAAAATTTTTTTTATTAAAAGAAAAATTATAACTCCAGAGGCTCTGAGCAGAAAGGAGATTTTAGGGTCTGGGTTTTATCACTAACACAACAAAAAAGAACATTTCACAGTCTCATGGGATAATGTCAAAAGCTCTAAAACAGACATAAGGAAAAGGCAGAACATTTGCCTTGGCACACACAAGTCCCTGGGTAAGAGCTCCAGAACCGAATGAACCACACATGATGGCGCACATCTGTATGTAATCCCAGCGCTTGGGAGGAGGCGAGGACACGAGGATCAAGAGTTCGGGTTCAGCTGGGAGGCAGTGGTGCACACCTCTGATCCCAGCACTTGGGAGGCAGAGGCAGGCAGATCTCTGTGAGTTTGAGTCCAGCCTGGTCTACAGAGTGAGATCCAAGTCACCCAGGACTGTGTACTGAGACCCTGTCTCTGAGAGAGAAAGACTGTGGATCACTCGGCCTTAAATAGAATGTCTCTATCAAATCCCTCCCTCAGGGCAGAGCAGGGGAGCCCACCCACTCCCGCTCCCCCACCCCAAGAGGAAAGAGTGTAAGAGCCAGAGGGGATGGAGGAAGCCGAGAAAACAAGGCCCACTAAATCAACAGGCTCAAAGCTCTTACGAACTCACAGAGAGGAAGCATGCACGCACGGGGCCTGCACAGGCCTTCTGTGTGCGCTGCGGCTTCCGGTTTACTGTTTGTGGGTTCTTGAGTGCACTTCTGATTCTTGTGCCAGCTCTTGTGCTCTTTCCCTCCTGATTGCTTGCCTTGTCTAAATCCACTGTAGTTTTGTTTATCTCGCTACATATTATTTTGTTGTATTAAAAAAAAAGACCCTGGCTTAGTTCCCAGCACACGTGTGGCGGTTCACAACAAGCTTTAACTCCAGTTCCAGGAAATGCACTGCCCTCTTCTGGCTTCCTAAGGCAAGGGACACACATATACACATGCAGGCAAAACACATACACAGAGAATAAAAAAGTAAAAATAAAGAAGAAACAGCTTGGGTCTTGTGTTGGGAGCTCGGCTGAGTCCAAGCCATTCTCACTCAGTCTGTGCTGCATACCAGCTCTCTTAGGTTCCTTTGGGGCAGCATCACTCCATCAGCTCTCTGCTGACTCCATCCCACTGCATGATCGATTTCTGCTGACTGTACTCATTTCCCCCTGCGAACACACACTATATAAGATGACACACTTCCTTGTTTGCATGAGCCATTAGCGTGTGCAAGAGCTCCTGATCCCAAACTTTGTCATCTTTAATTTCTCATCCCATGGTCCTCCTCTTGGGAACCTGTCACTGAAGAATAGCCTGGCTAGGTCAGTCCTGGGCTGGGAGACGGTTCAGTGGGTAAAGTACTGCCACACAAACACCAGGACCTGAATTTGAACCCCTAAAACCGTGTAAACGCACAGCATGAATCTGTAACCCATTGCTGCCACAGCAGAATGGGAAGAGAGAGGGGACTCTGGAAGCTCATGGGGTACACAGCCACGAGCAATAAGAAGAAGACACTGTCTCAACAAGGTTGCCCTCTGACCTCCACAAGCATTCTGTACCTCGTGCACACGCACACATGAACACGCACACGCACACACACATACTAGATCTGTAAGAATGAAGAAAACTCTACAGAGTGAGTTCCAGGATAGCCAAAGATATACAGAGCAACCCTGTCTCAAAAAAAAAAAAAAAAAAAAAAAAAAAGAAGCCACAGAAATTCTAGGTAAATATAAAACACTTTTCCTCTTAATGTCTCCAAAATATGAGGAAAGAAAAATGACTTCATCATGTTAATATTTTCAAGCCAAGCGGGTCTAGTGCATGTGACAGCTACAATAATAGGGTCAACGAAGGCAAAGAGGAGTCGGTTGCCTGCATGGCGGCAAGTCTTCCTGCCCAGGGAGACTGAAGGTGAGGCACACACACACTCTGGAACACTGGTTCTTAAATGGGGGAAACGGCAGCCACGGGGAGAGATTTGGTAATATCTGGAGATGTTTTTGGCTATCACAACTGTGGGAGGCATTTTTGGCACTTGGTGGGTAGAAGGCCAAGAATACTCATTGCTGAACACCCTGAGAGGTACAAGCTCTACCACAGAATAAGGAGCGCAAAGTCAGCAGTGCTGAGGCTGTCCTGGTGGCAACCACCAGAAAAGAAAAAGAAACAGGAGCAGCTGGGCTCGGTGGCTCCCGCCTGTAAACCCAGCACTCAGGAGACAGAGGCAGGAGGATCTCTGAGTTAGAAGGCAGCCTGGTCTACAAAGTGAGTCCAGGACAGCCAACACTACACAGCTCTGTCTCAAAAAGAAAAACAAAGAAACAGACAGAGGTGCTACAGATGTACCTAACTTTGTAGAGCGCCAAAACTTGGAAGATAGAAGCAAAAGAACCAGAAGTTCTGGTCTGGGGAAAATGGGGGTGGGGGAGGACTATGAGACAGCCAAGCAGGTAAAGCGCTTACAACACAAGCCCAATGACCTGGTCCTGCAACCCACAAAAAGGGGCAAAGAGAAAGTAGCTCCACAACGTTGTCCTCTGACCTCCATACATGTGCCATACTGCGCACACACCAATACACACAATGATCATACACTATTTACAAAAATTAAAATTTTAAAAGAGATCAAGCCAAAACACCAGCAGATACATGAAAATAGTAGACTAAAAATGTTCCAACACAGCAAAAAGAAGACAAGGGAAGAAAGAACAAGACAAGAACAACAAGGGAAGAAAAAGCACAGAACACAAGAAGAAAACATAATAAAATACTCAATCTAAACTATATGGACACGGAAGACTATGTTCTCAGACTAGAGGAAAATGTTCACAACATAACTGGTTACCATTGGCCTGTATCTAGAATATACATAGTATGTATATATATATATATATATATGTATATATATATATATATATATATATATACTATGTATATATTCTTACAACACAATAAAGATAGATGACAACCAAAGGCAGAGATTTAAGTAGATATAAAAACCTGAAGACAAAAAAAGAAGGTATGTGAGTGGCTGTGGCGACGGCTCAGCAGTTCAGAACACGTGCTGCTTTTCTCTAGAGGACACAGGTTTGATTGCTAACACCCACACAGGGTGACTCACAGCCAGCTGTAAGCCCAGCCACAGGGGATCCAATGCTCTGTTCTAGACTCCACGGCACCTGAACTCACACATTCACACACCTACACACTGGCACCAACATATACACATAAAGACAATATAAATTCTTTTTGTTAAGACACATGAGTGACCAGTAAGCACATAAAGATTTTTTCAGTATCACCAGTCAGGAGGAATATACAAATTGAGACTAAAGTGAGATATGACTGTATTCTCTTGACCGTGCCTGGAATGTTAACAACTGGCCATCAAGTGTTGACAAGGAAGTGAAGCAACTAGAAGTTCATTCACTAAGGAAATGGTGTGCTTCAGAAATGAGAAAGAGCCCTTCAAACCCCACCAAGTTAGTTTTTCTGTTTTCCTTTCTGCAAGCCTTTATTTAAACATGACTTTAAAATACTTGGGACGGCAGGCCTAATAAGTCATTTTTAAAATGTAACCATACATTCTAAGTACTGATTTGCATAATGTAACCTAGGTGTGTGCCCTGTTACCTCAGTATTGGTGTTGTCCAAGGCTTGGAGTTCTAAAAACTCTCCCACCAAAACTGCTTACGTTCGGTTTGCTCAGTGTGGCATAGCCAACAGGCTGGGAAAGGCAATTAGTGCTTTCTGCGGTTTAACGCAGAAAGCAGAGCCTTCTCAGTGGGCTTTGCGCAGGGCCCACATGGAGACACTACCTTCTGGACAGAGCGCCAGGGCTTCGTAAGTGAGCAGCTCGTTGGTAGAGAAACAGTCATGAAGTTCTATCACCTGGACATCGCTTGGGCTCAGGCCGGATTTCTCGTAGCACCTCCGGGCGGCTTCTTTACTCATATCATAGCCAACCTACAACCACAAATCCACTCAGGGGTAGACAAGGGTGCCAACGCTTGGCCGTAGGGTAACACATGCATAACACTGAAAGCTCCAGATACCACATGTGTTCAACTCTCCCCTGATTCTGTATTATATAAAAAGTCGATAAAATGATAACCAAAAAAGGAATGTACCATAAGGTACAAAAATACCAATTTTATGATCTTTGGCTTTGCTGGTCAATGTCACGTTGTGACAAAATACCTAAGAAAACTACTGAAGAGCAGGAAAGATTTTTTTTTTCTGTTTTGGTTTTTTGGGGCAGGATTTCATGTAGCCCAGGCTAGCCTCTAATCCATCGTGCAGCTGAGAATACCTCAGGCTTTGCCTGTCAAGTACTGAGATTACAGGTGTGTGTAGCCATGCCCCCTGGAAAGAATTACCTCGGTTTTGTAGATTTCAATTCGTGGTCACCTGGTGCTATCACACCAGGACCATTGAAAGGTTTAAAAAAAAAATCATAGCAGAGAACACATAGTAGAGCCAGGCTGCTGTCCTCTTGAAGGGCAGGAAGCAGGCGGAGAGCTGTTTCCACAGAGCCTCTGCCCTGAACCACGGAGCTGTGAATCCACCAGTGTGGTAACCCTTTGATTAGGCTGGAGCCACCATGAGCCCATCACCTTGCAAAGATTCTACCTCAAAACACTGCTGGATCAAGGGCTAAGTCCCTAGTGCCCGAGCTCGTGGGTAACAAGGGAGGTCCAAACCAAAGCACTGATTAAGTTATGTGGGCATTTCAAACTTGTAGCATGTTGTAAAACTATCTTATAAACTGTAATTTACCATACAGTTGTTTCTGTAGGGGAGGGATGAATCTTCAATTGTTCAACTCACCTTCAGTCTGAACTCTTTCATCTTCCCTTTAATAAGGGTGCACACATCTTTAATCCCAGCACTTGGAAGCCAGAGGCTGGCAGATCTCTGAATTTGAGGCCAGCCTGGTCTACAGAGTGAGTTCCTGGACAGCAGGGCTACACAGAGAAACCCTGCCTCAAAAAACCAAAACCAAAGCCAAAGCCAAAAACCAAAAGCAGCATGTCTACTAAATTAAAATAGCATTCTCATGGCTCTGTTCTAAGTAGCACCTGGTTAGCAATGTTGCTGAGGCTGGTCCTGAATTCCTGATCCTCCTTGCTCCACCTCCCAATTACAAGAGTGCATCAAGCCCATAAGGATAAGCTACAATGCGAACTTTTCTAGATCAAGTTTTTTGTAAGTACCGTCCAGAGCTTACAACAGTAACATGTTAGGTTGCAATTTAAAATAGTATTCCCCTAATTTAAAAAACAGACTCTCAGACACACCATTTTAATCACACTCTTCTCTTCGAATGTGCTGGGCAAGTCGGTCATCATCTCCTGCGCCACGATCTCCACGGCTTTGGACTGCAGGCCATACTTGAGCACGAAGTCCTCACTCGTCAGAATGGCTGCGGCGGCGCCATCTGAGGTGGGGCTAGGCGGAAGTGAAAAGAATCACTTACTCCACCGCCATCTCTGGGGGTCTCAGACCCGGAGCTGGGGGAGAAAGACCAAGCACGCTTCCTGGACGTCTCTGTGACGTTCAATCACACATGCATCCCACTGAGGCTACGCCTGCGGCAAGCCCTCCATGGCCCCCGCCGCCCAGGCTGCAGTCTCCCCCCAAGCCCTCGCTGAACAGAGACTTTCCTCCGAGTCTAAACGGTTCTGCCTGTCTGAGTGGCTCACACCACCCCAGCTTCGCTTCATCCCACAGAGCCCTGTATGAAATCTTCTTGGAAGCTGGGACAGATCAGAAGGAGATTCTAGAAAGCCCAGAGGTAAGACCCGTGAGATCTTACTACATGGACAGCAAGCTGTGAGGCTAGCTGGCACATGCAAGAGGGGACCCCCAGCCCGGCCAGGTGGGAAGGATTTTCTAAGCGGGCTGTCCTCCAGAATGTAACAGGTGACAGCTGACCCAGCTTTTCCAACTCCATCCCAGTGTCTGCAGCGCTCATCCAGGGGTGTGCCCGGCAGGCAAGTTTCCAGATGTGGCTATGAGCATCGTTAGAGCCACAATTCCTTCCTTCATTTCCAGACCTATGGACCACAGACTAAAACTTTCTATGTTTCTTTTCTACAGGGAAACCCAAATGTTCCAAGAACTTTGGGGCTACCCTGGCCTCCTAAAACACATTTTTAAATGAATAAACACAGAGCAGCCAAGCAAACAGCAGTGACTAGAGAAGGAAGAGGTACAACATCTTTTCATGACAGGAGGGGATCGGCCTCAGAGCAGCAGCAGGAAGTGAGTATTCAATGTCATGAAGGAGCCCTGAGTGAGGAGTACATAGGTAATTCCACAGAAGCTGCCGGTGGGACGTGAGGGTTAACCACTGAGGGCCAGGCTGGAGGAGAATGCTGACCCGATTTTCTTACCAGCACTGTAAGATAGTCAGAAAATCAAAGATCGGCTTTGACTTCATTATTTCCTCTAAGCTGTATTCATCTTGGAACTGGGAATACCTAAATACAAGAGAAATAGTTACAAGATGTGAGGAAGCAACTGTCATTCTTGTTGAAGATTATCTTGATACAGTGCTACGGAAAATATGCCAAGTTTCTTTCACAGCCCACAAACTTTCATTAAGTTTCAACCTTAAATAAAGTAATTTGAATGAAGTTTTTTTTAAAAAAGGGAAAAACATCCACTTTACCCTAAAAATCATGTTGTATATTAAAAACTGTCCTAATTGGGCACAGTGGCACATGCCTGCAACTAACTCAACTAACACTTGGCAAAAACACTCGGGGGGGGGGGGGAGGCAGGAGGATTAGGAGTTCGAAGTCATCCTCAGCTACACAGTGAATTTTGGGCCAGCCTGGGCTACTTGTGACAATAATAAAATCTGCCTATTCTTTGTCCTGGATGCTAGGTGCAGAGCTTCTAAAACCATTTTCTAAGTGATGGGCCTGACTCTGTTACATTGCCAGCAAGGTCCCCCTCCCCCCCCCCCCCGCCAATCATTTCCTCTCCCCCTGCCCTGAAGGGTCTTCTCTCACTATAGCCCAGGTTGGCCTTGAACTCTTCATTCTCCTGCCTCCTAAGTGCTGGAATTGCAGGAGTATACCACATACTACTCAATGCCTTCGTAACCTTCAGGAGGATTAACTGATCACCAAAGAGACCAACTATGTAGATTCCGGATGGACTCGAGCCTGCTTGTCCCTTGCTGGGGAGAAAAGGGCTGGAGATGAAGTCCCAGCGTGTGGCCAGTGAAGTATGGCCCTTGTCTCTCAGTGTATACCATCCTGGACCTCCTTAGAATTCTGCTAATATGAGGCCATTGTCAAGCCAGGTATGATGGCACACATCTTTAACCCCAACACTTGGAAGGCAGAGGCAGGCAGACCTATGAGTTGGAGGCCAGCCTGGTCTACAAAGTGAGTTCCAGCACAGCCAGGGATATAGAGAAAAACCCTGTTGAAGAAGAAGAGGAAGAGGAAGAGGAAGAGGAAGAGGAAGAAGAAGAAGAAGAAGAAGAAGAAGAAGAAGAAGAAGAAGAAGAAGAAGAAGAAGAAGAAGAAGAAGAAGAAGGTGATCTAGAAATGTGACTTTACATGTTCAGAAACACAAGGCAAAATCAATTCCTTTTCTTTTCTTGGCTGTCCTGGAATCACTTTGCAGACCAGGCTGGCCTTGAACTCACAGAGATCTGCCTACCTCTGCCTCCCCCAGTGCTGGGATTACAGGCCTGTGCCACCATGCCTGGCTAATTCCTTTTCCTTATAACTCATCCAGTTAGTGATAATTTTAGGGTCTGACTGGCAAAGGAAGACGGTCAAACATGTGTGGCAGTGCTTTTATTCAGACTCCAATTACGTGGCATCAGTTCAGTTCCCGACGGACCACTTTCCCCAGCAAACACTGAGTTGATGTTATAAACCAGGCATTGTACCACCAGTAAACATTCAGAAATTTCAGGTCAACAATTCCGATGTAATTTTCTTCAGATTATTTAAAAAATATAATTATATTGTTCTTCCAGAATAAGTTAACAATACAGTGACTGAAAGTCAGCCTAGTCATAAACTTAATATGCATTTTACATTTTCTTTTGTTGTGCAAAGACATGAACCTAGGACCTGACATACACGAATCACTAGCTGTACCACCAACATATAATGTCAACCGCAGTTAAATTTTAATACTTGTCGCTCCTATTCTTATTTAAAAGAATCATTAAAGCCAGGTGGGGTAAACCAGGCCTATAATCCTAGCACTTAGGCGGCCGACGGAGAAGGACAGCCACATATTAGAGGCTAGCCAAGGCTACATTCTCAAACTCTTCCTCCCTTCTCAAAAACAAAAAACAAGAGCTCAAAATATAAACAAACAAATAAAAAGAACCATTAAACTATAATGGTATTTTATGTACAAATAAGCCAAGAACTAGAATGGCAAAAGCAGACACTGTATAATTTGGGCACATGCCTTTCTTTTATATAAACAAACAAACAAACAAACAAATATCCAAGGTAATATCTTTGAGGTCTTACATTTGTATTCCAAAGTTGCAATTACATGTTACACGGCAGGATAGAGCAGATTTTCACGTCACGTCTCTGACATACTTACGGGTTATTAACTGAGTGTTTATGATTTTTCCATCCAATTTTTGCAAAGTGTTCAACTGTTGTTCCTGCAGAGAGACCAAACATCTATCAGTGCACTGTTATCTGCAGCTCATTAGCAAATGTCACGGTGGAACTCACTGTTTTGCTAAATAGTTCCATAGTTTCTCTTGTACTGATATCAGGGTTTAAGACAGTGGTCACTCATATAATTTGTTATAATTAAATTTGAGCATTTCACAAATTGAATCAAGAGACATATGAGATTAAAAAAAAAAAAAAACAGTTCAAACCATCTATTCTATTTAGTACAATTAGGATTCCATTTCAGAAACTAGAAAATAGTCTGGAGCCATAGTGTTTAGTTGGAGACTACTGCCAGCAGTGACCAGTGTCTGCCAGCCATTCCTAAGCCCAGAGTGAGTGGGTGTGCCAGTCACATTCTCCACGCCCTGATAAACAGCCTCAACAACCTCCCTTTCCCATACAACACAAGGGTCTCTAGAAAACTTACATCCAAGGGCTGGACGGATGGCTCAGTGGTTAAGAAAAACTTACATCCAGTGACTTATGCGTGCTTTCCGGATCTTTTTATGATTTTGTGTTTTGAGACAGGGTCTCACTATTTAACCCTTGGTTGGCCTGGAACTCAGTATGTAGCATACAATAGGCCCGAACTCAAAGAGAGCCATCAGCTTCTGCCTCCCGAGTGCCGGGACTGAAAGCATGCATCCTCACCGCCCAGCTTGGAACAGGGTCTAGTCTTTAGTACAGACTGGGGAGCTCTAGCAGTGTGATGTGATTACCAGAAAAGTTGTGGCCAAGGTACAGGACTTACAGTTTTCCAAGAGTAGAGACAAACGCCTGTAATCCCAAAACCCAGGAAGTGGAAGCAAGAAGGACCAAGAGGCTAAGGGCATCCTGAACTACACTGAACCTTGTCTCAAAAAATAAAACAGGAACAGATGCTGTGGTACACAGCTTTAATTCCAGTACTCAGGAGGCAGAAGCAGGGTCTGTGAGTTCACAGCCAGCCTGTGCACACTTCCAAATTCCAGGCCAGCCAAGGCGACACAATGAGATCCTGTCTCAGAATAAAGCCATGGGTAGAAACTACAGGGAGAGAGCTCTGAAGGTCTATGTTGCTGTCGATTCTGGTTTGGTTTGAGATTTTTTTGGTTGGTTTTTTTTGTTTTATTTTGTTTTAAATACAAAGCATTGTGCCTTTCCATGGAATCCCTTTGCACATATGAAAAAGCATCTTCTACAAAAAGGAGTCTGTCAGTCACTTACCATGTATTTCTTAAGCCTGAGAAATACACTAACCAAAGGCTGATAGCCACTTACTGTGAACTGCCAATTAAGCTTTTGGCTGTTGCCAAGCATAGAACACAGCTGTAATCCCAGCACTCAGGAGGAGGAGGGAAAAGGAACCACCCTTCCAATGTTCCCCTTAAAAACTTTTTGGCTGTTCAAAGAATATATTTAGTATAAAAGATTCCAATCTCCTAGGCTCAAATTATAAAACCACAAGAATCTGCTGATTCTATCAAGTTAAATTAAAGAAGTGGTGGTTCATGCCTATAATCTCAGCCCTCAGGAGGGAGATTCAAGCAAGAGGTCTTTGTGAATTCCAGGTTAGCCTGGGTAACTCAATGAGCTCCAGGCCAGCCCAGGCTACAGTGCAGACCCCTTCAACAAACAAAAAAACAAATGCAAGTATCTCAGATTTTAGACAAGAAAATTATTAAGGTATTCCAAGTAATATAAAACTTAAGAAAACACGTAAGTTTAAAAATTATACCAGTACCAAGATTTCCAAGGTCAATGGAAGCTGCTACATCTGTCTCTGTAGCCTCCAAAAATAATACAAATAAGAAGGGAAGGCATGAGTGTGCCGTTCCATATAATCAGCAAAACCAGAAAAACTGTGGTGGCCAAACCTCAAAATCTCTGTAAGTTAAGAAAAAAGAAAAAACAAATGCAAAATAAGGCCAAATCCCAACCACAGACCTTTGGGGTAACAAGAGCAGCCTGAAGAAAAACACTGCAGAGGGGAAAAAGAGGTAGCAAATGACACCCACAGTTGCCCTAAAGCCACCCACCCCAAGTGTGAACGTGCAGAGAAAAATGTTCCTATAACAGAAATAAAGAGCTTATTTTTAATTTTCATTTATTGTGTTTGCATGTGCATGTACTGTATTTGTGTGTGATGTATGAGTCCTGGGGATTTGAACTCAGGTCCTCACACTGGCACAGCAAGTGCTCTTATCTGAGCCCTCTTCCCAGACCCCTAGAAATAAAACTTAAAATTGTAAATGATTTTTTTATAGGGGTGGGGATTCAAGACAGGGGTTCTCTGTGTAACCTTGGCTGTCCTAGAACTAACTCACTCTGTAGACCAGGCTGGCCTCGGAACTCAGAGATCTTCCTGCCTCTGCCTCCTGAGTGCTGGGATTAAAGGCATGCGCCACCACTGCCCAGCTTCTAAGTAATTTTTTTGAATCAGTCAATAAATAACAGACATATTTTTTAGAGTCATAATCAGGCTGATTTGAAAATCTAAGTGAAATGGATAATTTACTGGGGAAATAGAGATTACTAGAATTGATCCCTTTGGAAATAAAATATTTAAGCTAAAAGAAATAAAGAAAGTTAGGCTGAGGATGTGGATCAGTTGACAGGGAGCTTGCCTAGCATGTAGGAGTCCCAAGCAAAAACTGGATGTGGTGACAAAAACCTGTAATCCCAGCACTCAGGAGGTGGAGACCAGTCTTGAAAGGCTACATTAAACCTTGTCTCAAAAAAAAAAAAAAAAAAGGAGAAATGTGAAGGGGAGGGAAAGAGGAGAGAGAGAGAAAAGCAAGGAAAGAACAAAGGGAAAGAATAAAAAGAAAGGGCGCCCAGACAATCATGAGGCAGCTACCGGCCACCAAGTCTGACAGTGTCACACAAAATTCTACCAAACCTATAAAGATCATGCAGTCCCAATGCTCCATACATAATTGCAGAGCATTCAAAGTGAAAAACGGGGTCTGGATAGATGGCTCAGAGGTTGAGAGCACTGGCTGCTCTTCCAAAGGTCCTGAGTTCAATTCCCACCCAGCAACCTACATGGTGGCTCACAACCATCTATAATGAGATCTGGTGGCCCATTCTGGCATGTAGGCATACATGCAGGCAGAACAATGTGCACATAATGAATAAATAAATATAAAAAATAAAGTGAACTATAAAAAAACCTGTGTTTGTATGAAGCCCAGGGTTAGTGGACTAGGGCCCAGCCATAGAGCACTTGATTGACTAGCACAGGTCCCCAGCACCTCAGGAAACAAAATAAACTTCCACGGGATTCCATTATGTCGAATGGGGCCTAACTAGTGAAGATGTAGGTTCAAGACCAAAATAAATTCACATCCAAACTTGATATGCATAACCAAAAGGGGGTGGGGCGTGGATTACAGCAGGGCATGGTTGTCTAGGCACTGAAGAGATAGGGGTAGGAAAATCAGGAGTTCAAGACCAGCCTTGATATACCAGTCTGTGCTTCAGGAGAAAAATACATACATACATACATACATACATACACACATACATACATACATAAAAATAAGCTGGGTATTTAATCCCAGCAGAGAGGCTGAGGCAAGTGGATGCCTGAGTTTGAGGCCAGCCTGGTCTATAGAGTGAGTTCCAGGTCAGCCAGGGTACACAGAAAAACCCTGTCTTGAAAACAAAAAAACAAACAAACTGAAAAATAAACAATAGGGGGCTGGAGAGGTAGCTCGGCAGTTAGGAACACTGGCTGCTCTTGCAGAGAGCCTGAGTTCAAGTCCCATCACCTACATGGCTTACTTAACTGCAGTTTCAGGGGATCCACTGCCCTCTTCTGGTCTCTGTGGACACCAGGTACACAAGTGGTGCACAGACACACACACACACACACACACACACACACACACACACACACACGAGCAAAACGGTCATGCACATAAAATGGAAAAAAGTTAATTTTAGAGTAAACAAAAAATTATGAAGGGCTTTGGATCCAGAAAAGGGATGTTTTTGAGATAATTAGTGAAATCAGGAATAAGACCTAAAGATTGGGTAACTGCATCGTGTCCACACTAACTCATTTTTTTCTTTACATGGGAGAGCTTGAGGCCTTGCTGTGCTGGCTTTGGAGGCCTGGGCTCATGCAATTCCCCTGCAACAGCTCAGATGCTTGATTTGATGTTAATTTCTTGATTGTGATAATTATAGTTTAGCTTTGAAAGTCTATAACTCACTCATTTTTTAGACAGAGTCTTACTAAGTAGCCCTAGCTAGTCTGGAATTCACTGCATAGATCAGGTTGGGATAAAAGGAGTGCGCCACTACTCTTGGCCTGCTCTTAAATATTTAAGTTATATAATAATATAGATAAAAGATACTAAAAATATAAATGATCTAGAAAAGGGATTTTTGTGCTATTTTGTGCAACACTGTCATGAAGTCAGAAATTATTTTAAAACAAATGTGAAAACACTAGTGGTGGTGGCACACACCCTTAACCCTTTAAAGGAGACAGAGGCAGGAAGATCTCTGCTCTAGGCCAGCCTCATCTACAGAGTGAGTTCCAGGACAGCCAGGGCTACACACAGACACCCTGTCTCAAAACAATTTTCTTAATTAAAAAACTAAAAAGAATAAAAAGGAAAGAGGAAGGAAGGAAGGAAGGAAGGAAGGAAGGAAGGAAGGAAGGAAGGAACCCATTAGAGCAACAACTCTTCATAAGTCTTTTAGAGTCACACTGTCTTTCAAAACTGACAATCTCTCAACTGACAGCCATGAACAATTTCAATTTTTAAATTACTGGGCCAGGGAGATGACTCAGTGGGCATAAGAGATTGTCACACAAGCTCATGACCTGAATTTGATATTCAGAACCTAATTTTAAAAATCTAGATACAATAGCACATATTATAAAAGGAACTTTTATTTGCTTGTTCCAATTGTTGTCTCTGAGGCTCACTGCCTCCTTCTCCTAACCTAGGGCCTAGTCCTGGAAGCTTCTGGCCTCCGAATAATCTAGCCTAGGCCTAGAATGTTTTCAGTCTCTGAGACTAACTGCTGAATAAGCTCACCCTTTCTAGTTCTTACTGAGCTCTGGGCTGGCTGGTTCAATTCAGCTGTTCTGGCTCAAACTCCTCTCCAGCTGACTTATTCCATCTGATCTTTCTCTTGGCCTCTGAATTGTTCGGCTTGGCTTCCAACTAACTAATTAGAAATCTTTTCTAATTTTCTGGCTCCTCATTCCCTGGTCAGTCTTCAACTGAGCTCTCTCTCTCTGCAACGTGTCTCTCTCTCTATTACTGTACTGGTAAAACTGCCTCCTTTCTTTCTCTGCATTGCTCCTTAAGTAGCTTCCCCTTTCTCTCTCTATTCTGTCAAATCTCTGATTCGTCACTGTTTCTGCCACTCAGTCGGGCATCACTTTCAAACCTGGGTGCTTCCTTCTACTAACTTTACCTTCATTGTTTGGGATTAAAGGTGTGTAACATTATGCCTGGACTTTTTTTTTTTTTTTTACCAGAAACTTGCCCTACAGCGGGCTGGCCTTGAACTCAGATCTATCTGCCTCTGTCTCCTGGATAAAAGGCGGGTTTGTATTCCAGCCAGATCACACAGATCTAGGAGGTCTTTGGATGTGATCTCTTGCCACAGCAGCCATGTTCTGAACTGAAATTTCTCTACAACTTATCTGTAGTCACAGTGGACCTATGGAGAGATGAGAAACAGAGGCAAGAGAATCACCTACAAGGCCAGGGGCCACTGCCTAGAGTACACGGGGCAGAGCAGAAGCAAGGAGAGAGCTCTGCCTTGACAAGGCAGAGGTGAGAGCTGACTCCCAAAGTTGTCTTCCCAGCCCCACGTGCAAAGCCTGGCACAGGAGTATGCACACTCACAAACACACCTGCCCAAAAAACCAGTAAGAGAGATTGTGATCTGGTCACATTCATTACCTAAAAAGTGAGAAAACTTACAGTATTTATGACAGTCAAACAATTTGTTACAAAATTCCTTATAACTTTATTTGCAAAATAGATTTAAAAAAAATACCCACGCTGATTACATAACCCAGTGCTCCCCTGAGGAATCGGGGTTACTTCCAGTCTTGCACACACAGTGCTGTGATATCAACCACATAAAAATACCTTCCATACGCTGGCAAACCCAGAAGACAATTCACTGAAGAGGAATTGCTAGGTTGCCACTTTCGTGTCCACCAGAATTATCTACCCATTGTGACTTCCTCTTGCTGCCTCTTACTGTGCCTATCAAGCTTAACATAACTGGAGAAAGAGCATTCTCAGCCTGACTTTCATGTTTTCCTGTTATGATTAGCTAACACGAACATCAAAACTGAAAGCCAGGCTGGTGGACTCAGCCTCTAGTGCGGTAAAGGAGGAACACCCTGTGTGAGGGAGGTCCTGGAGCCACCTGTCAGCACTGGTAAATACAGAGACATGGACAACTGAAAACGACTCTCCTTGCTACCCAGCGATGGCCGCTGAACCCACAGACGGAACAGGATTCTGCCGATCTCCCAGGACCTCCACTTCCCACTGAGACGTAAAGCCCTCATCTGTAACATTATCGAAGGACCTCAATGATGTCTCTAATGTCGTCCCTTCTAAATCCTAATATTGAAACCCTGGCCTCAGTGATGAGGAGATGGGGCCTTTCCGGGAGGGAGGCAGTGAACTGAATTCTGAAGTCCTCACCAAAATTCCCCTGTTGAAATCTAATTCCACAGGTAATAGTGTTAGGGAGCAGGGCCTTCATGAACAGGATTAGTATCTTCACTAAAGAAGGCAGGGACGTGTCTTGGGCAGCAGCTCAGTTGGCAGACTGCTTGCCTAGCCCCAGTTCACTCCCTAGCACCCATGTAATGCGTGATAACCTGTAACTCCAGTTCCAAGGGATCTAATGCCCTCTTCTGGAGAAAAAAATCCCCATAAAACACACCCAGAAAAAATAAAAATAAATAAAAGTATTTTATATCTTAAATACCCAGTATGTTCCACATGCAAATACCTGTTATTTCTTATTAACTTAGGACCTTAACTCATAATAAGCCTGAAAGGTGGTATTATTTTGAGGTAGGATCTCACTATGCATCCTTGGCTGGCCTAGAACTCAAAATGTGGACCAGGTTGGCCTTGAACTTAAAAAGATCCAGATGCTTCTGTGCTGAAACTAAAGGCATGCATCACCACTCCCAGCCTCTAAAGCAAAGGTCCTCAACCTTGCTAATGCTGCAACCCTTTAATATAATTCCTCATGTTGTTGTGACCCCGAAGTATAAAATTATTTCATTCTACTTCATAACTATAATTTTGCTATTGTTATGAATCGTAATATAAATATCTAACATGCATGATGGTCTTAGGCAACCCCTGTGAAAGGGTTGTTTGACCTGTCCCTACAGGGGTTGAGACCTGCATGTTGAGAACCTCTGCTCTAGGGCATTTTTTTAACATACCATATTTTTCCATGTGTTCTTTCCCAGCAGACCCAAACATCTGAGGAGCAATTGGATGGGCAGACAATCCATACTTATTGACCAAGACATCAAGATGTTTGTCAACTGGATAGGATCGATCTAAAAACTTAAAGAGAAAAGAAAATTTAAAGAGCAGCTGACATAAACATGTCTCTTGCAACTTACTCTATCGCTAAGACAATTGCTTATCCTGAGAGCACGGTAAACCAAAAACGGTCAATGTGAATAAAATCATCAAGAAATACTTAATAGCAGGAGAACACGTGCAGCTGGCTATGGCGGCACATCCCAACACTGGAAAGGTAGAGGAAGGAGGGCCAAGAGTTTCAGACTAGCCTTAGCTACGTAACAACTCAGAGGCCAGTTTGGAGCATACAAGACCCTCTCTTGGGGACGGTTTTGTGCACTGTGTATAAAAATAAAAAAGGGGGAGAAGCAGTGAAAAGAAAAAAGAGATATAAAAATGATAGGATAAAAATGTATACCACTGAATCTACTTTTAAACTAAAGGGTATTCAAAAAGCCAAAAATTTTACATTGGTATGGATCTTTGTATATTGATAAAAATTTAAGGTTATTTTGTTAAAATATACTGTATGTATGTTTTAACTCTTGTATAAGGAATTCTACCTATGCAACTCATTTTAAAATGTAATTTGAAGTGCTAGTTTTTGAAAGCTGCTATTATATACTGCTTAAGAAAATTAAGAAATGTAAGTTAATAGTCAAACTTGTGGTCTTCTCAGGTATTAGTTATAGTTAATTACAGAAATAAGTTTTATTTAGCCTCCTGTAGATGTTTTCAAAGTTAATCAGATAGTAAATAGCTGGAAACAAGCAACGTTTGCCTATTCAGATATATTATAGATAAAAGGTCTTTAAAAACCTTAGAAATCTACAGAATATGGCACTTAAAGATGTTTTATTAATAAAAGTTGGGGTTTTTTTTTTTGTTTGTTTGTTTGTTTGTTTTGACAGTGAGATATGTCAACTCCTGGCAGTGCTCCGATTCTACTTCAAAGAATATGGTGGACATCAAAGAACCTTCATATGGAGTTTGCTTCATTTGTGGCAAGCTAGCCACTGGGCAAGAAACTACCTTTGCCTCAACTGCTGACAGAATGCTGTCTAAGCTGTGGACAAGCAGGGCAAAGAAGTAGTTGACTGCCAAACTTTTCAAGGACAAGGTAGGCAATTTCTTCATAATTCCTGCTTCATAGAAAAGTCTGTCATATAATGGGCCAGAATGTCAAAGATGATGCCCCATTACTTCAGAGGAACCTTGGGCGACTGTCCAGACAGCCAGCTGTCTCTGTCATTTCTACAGTTTTGGAAGCTGCTTGCTCGGCACTGCCTGTCTGCTCAGGAAGTAAACTTCCTGTCTCCTCAGGTAATATTTATCCTTCTCAGGTCTCTGATGGGGTTGAAGACTAGATAGTTATAGTCTCACAATTAAGCTTAAGTTGTTCAGGATTTAATAAAATGTTTTAATGTCTAAAGAGGTATGCATAGGTTGAAAGACACAAGTTATAACAGAAAATTATTTCAGTACAGAACTCTGAACTCACCAAGATAGATAGTACTTTCCCCAAGGTTGCCAAATGCACATGGGCTGGATGTTGTAAATGTGAATCTCACCTGACGGCTCTCATAATTGTTCTTATTGTATATAGTTTATTAACGTAAGAGAAGGAGCCTTTTCTTGGACTAAAAGGGGATTCTGTTGGGGAGGTGGTTTTGTGCACTGTGAATTCAAATGTATTCTGATTTCTGTATCCAGAGATCTGGTTGCAGTCCGGATGTAGGCACTGTCATTATCACTGTCTCAATGTTGAGTTAAAGTTGTTCTCTCCATCACCTCTGACTAGTTATTAGTCTTACTCTTTGTTTTGTTTTGTTTTGTTTTGTTGTTTTGTTTTGAGACAGGGCTTCTCTGTGTAGCCTTGGCTGCCCTGGACTCACTTTGTAGACCAGGCTGGCCTTGAACTCACAGAGATCCAAATACCTCTGCCTCCCTGAGAGCTGGAATTACAGCCATGCACCACTGCACCCGGCTAGAAAGATTTATCTATTTATTATTTATACAGTGTTCTGCCTGCACGCCAGAAGAGGGCACCAGATCTTATTATAGATGGTTATGAGCCAGCATGTGGTTGCTGGGAACTGAACTCAAGACCATTGGGAAGAGCAGTCAGTGCTCTTAACCTCTGAGCCATCTCTCCAGCCCTCTGGTTGGTTAATAAAGAGCTGAACAGCCTACAGCTGGGCTGGAGAGTTAAGGCTGGACTTCTGGTCCCAGGGAGGGGGTCTCAAGTGGTGAGCAAGGAGAGAAGATTGCCGTGAAGGAGTTGCCATGAGGACACATATGGAGCAAGAGCAGCCAGGGAGAGACTAAGATGGTAGATAACAGGGCATGTGCCTGGGAAGTAGACCAGGCCGGCAGAGTTGTGTTAGAATAGATGACTATCTGTCCAGCTATAATGCCTGAAGCTTTTAATACATATAATGGGTTTCCATGTCATTATGTGGGAGCAAGAGCAGGTGTAGAAAAGCCCATACTTTTAATTTTACATGTCTCTCTCTAAATATATACATGTGTGTATGTATATATACATATATATGTATACATATATATTTATCCTTGATTTTATATCTATGATATATACATGGCAGTACCCTGAAGATGGACTTGAGGTGACTTAATCTTTTGTATCTGTTCCTCTTCCCAGTGTGGCCTTGTTGGATAAATCTCTCTGCTTTCTACCGTTACTCACCTGTTCAAGTAAGTACCTCAACAAGCCTAGACTGCTGGAGCACCAGGAGCCTCAGCTTTCACCATAAAAAGCCAATTAAAACGGAAAGGGGCTGGTGAGCCAGCTCATGGGTAAAGGCACCTGTTACCTGACTTTGATCCCCGGGAACCTCACAGGAGAAGGAGATAAGTGATGCCTGCAAGTTGTCCTCTGACCTCTGAGTAGGCCAGGCCACATCCACACTTACCCAACATACACACTCAGGAAATTGTGTCATTTTGAAAAAGTTGACATCTTTTATTTACTTAACATATCACCCTCCATTTCAACAAGTCAATGTGAAAACAGGAGACATTTTACTTTTTTGAGAAAGGATGAGCTCTGGCTGTCCTGGAACTTACTGTGTAGACCAGGCTGGTTTCGAACTCACAGAGATCCATCTGCCTCTGCCTGAGTTATACTCTTTTACCAAATTAAATCTTTAAAATACTGTGTATATTCTACACCTATGACACATTCCAACTTAAAACAAATTTTCACTGGGAGTATTTAATACACATTACATGTATATTTCATGAAATCACAGTTGGATAACTTGAACCCAAAATACACTCAAAAGTTGCTCAATAATGGAACAGAGTATTAATTTAACCTTAAATTAATTAAAATTAAATGTAAAATCCAGCTTCTCAGTTGTACTCAGTAGTAAAATGTGCTAACAACTCCCTGCCAGGTACAGCTGCTGCGATTAGTATTCTCAGTGAAACATTCTTTAAAAACTTACTTATTGGGTGTGCGGGGTGGGGGTATGTGGGCACGAACATAGCAGGGCACATCTGTGGAGATCAAAAGGCAACCTAAGGAACCAGCTCTCTTCCAACCTAAGTGTTCCAGAGGTCAAGCCGGGTCAGCAGGTTTGGACACCCACTGACCCAGCTCACCCACCAGCTCTCCTTCCTGCTCCAAAGAGTAACTCCTGTTGCCGTGTAAGATGGAATTGTTGCTTTTGTGCACAGCATACCTATAGAACGCAGAAAGTTGCACCTCGTGATCTGAAGGAGAGAACCCAGACAAACTCGGATAAACCATATAAACCAGGCCAAGCAGGAGGCTAAGCTTCGGCCACAGAGACCCCTCTAGGGGCAGGACAGAGAAACAGCAAGTTGTTTTCTTCAAGTTAAAAAGGAACCTGCCTGGAGAAAGGAGGGTCAGAAGTCCAAGATCATCCTCAAAGTGAGCTTGAGGCCAGTCTGGGACCGTGAGACCATGCACTGACAAAATCAAATGTCAAGTCAGGGGCTGCAGAAATGACGCAGCACTTTAGAGCACTGGCTGCTCTCCCAGAGAACTCAAGCTCTGCTACCTGCACCCTGGGAAGCCCAGTGACGCCAAACCCAGGGGTTTCCATACCCTCTCAGGCCTCTGTGCCGTCCAAACACACAATCACTCACACACATACACAAACACATAAATAAAGGCAAATAAATCTTAAAGTAAATATATGCTTAAAACATCAAGTCGTGTTTTCTATTGCTTACTAACTGACATCATTTATGATGGTCAGATGGACAGCTTTCTCATAGCATTAAAACAATTCCAACTCCTGGGAGATCCATTCACTCATCCATTCAGCCTATACCTGAGTTTACTGTGCATACATTAGTTGGACTTATATGCAATGCAAATTCATGCTACCATGGGAGCTGCAGGCTTGGCTTGGTTTTAGATCAAACTGAGTACATCACAGTTAGGCCATTGGTCTCTAGATGATCCCTATAGGCTCAAGTTTGCTATGATAGCCTCCAGCTGGTGGGAGGATTCACCACGTCAAGAGTTCTGAGGATCAGCATGTAGCCACTTCTCCAGCACCATACCTGTATGCCGCAGTGATTGCTAAGATGGACTACGTGTTCCCCTGGGCCTCTGTCTCAGACAAGAGGCTAAGAGAGCCAAAATAACCCTGTTTGAGCTGCATGTGTGGCTGGCATAGGACCCAGGCAGGACAGACAAAACGCAGATCTGGATTCTTCAGGTACCAATCCTGGGTTTGTCCTGCCGCTTAACTGCCTGCGGAATCCAGATGAAAGTCCTCAGATCCCCTGGACCTGGAGTTGTGAGCTGCCACATGGATACTGTGGAAGAGGGACCAGGGACCAGTGCTCTTAATCACTAAGCCATCTCCCCAGCTCCTAGAGTCAAACATCAATAAAGTCTTGTTCTCTTGAGGAAAAAAAAAAAAAAAAAAACAATTCCAAAATAACAATAAATGACTCACTTTTAATCCAAGGGATCCCTTCTCCATCTTCTCAAACCCAAGGGCCAACACGCAATCCGCCACACCTTAAAGGAAAATGCAATTATTTCAAAATTTTTAATTTCCAGGCACCCAACAAAATACTATTAAATGCTTCAATTTGAATAATAATTTACTTTGGGTATAGAGGCACACACCTTTACTCCTAGCACTTGGAAGGCAGAGACGAGGAGGGTCTCAGTGAGTTTCAAGCCAGCCTGGCCTAAAGAGCAAGTTTCAGGACAGCCAGGGCAGAGATTAGAGAGGCCATGTCTCTAAATGTGTGTGTGTGTGTGTGTGTGTGTGTGTGTGTGTGTGTGTGTGTGTGTATGAAATTAAAAGGCATACAATAACCCTATAAAGTCGTTTCTTTATGTGTGCATGTGTACATTCTTATGTTTGGGTATGGTACAAACGCAGGTGTGCACACAAAGGAAAGCAAGAGGTTGATGCTAAGGGTCTCCCTCAGTCTTGCCCACCTTGTTTTTTGAGACAGGTCTCACAGTGAACCTGCAGCTCTCTGCTTTGACTAGACTAGGCAGCAAGCTCCAGGGAGCCTGCTGTTTCCACCTTCCCAGCTGGGATTGCTAGGATGTGCCACCCAGCCTGCATATTTTATTTCATTGTGTTTCTCTGTGTAGCCTTGGCTGTCCTGGAACTCACTTTATAGACCAGGCTGGCCTCGGACTCGCAGAGATCCACGTGCCTCTGCCTCCCTGAGTGCTGGAATTAAAGATGTGCCCTACCATGCAAAGCTTAATATTTTAATTTTAATTAAAACTTCAAGGGGATTGTAGCTGAAATATCAAAAGAACTGTTTCAGGAGGAAAGGCCGTCAAAAGTTCTGTTAAAGTTCAAGGCAAGAAGAACCATGAGTAAGCTACCATGAACAAAGAACTGCTGGAGAATGCAGCTCAATGGTAAAGCACTTGTCCAGCAGGCATGGAGTCCTGACCTCAGTTACCAGCATGGAGAGGGATGGCGAGAGAGAGGAGCGGGGAGAGAGACAGAGAGAACAAGGAGGACATCAACTTTATCAAACAAGAAGAGTTCCAGGAAGAGGTTGAAGGGTATCAGCATAAGCAGTAAGATTACAAACTCCAAAACCCCAGAGCCCTGGGCAGTGGAACAATTATCAAAAATACACACTGGAAGAGGGCTCAATCAAGGGCCCTGTATATTTGGAAATAGAGACTATGATGTACACGAATATATGCTTTATATAGATACGGACATATGCAGATATGAAACTATTTGGACACTGAAACAAAAAACCTGTGCACATACGCTTATGGCAGCATTATTGATAACAGAAGAAAGAAAGAAAGAAAGAAAGAAAGAAAGAAAGAAAGAAAG